CTCTCTCTCTCTTTCTGTCTTTCACTCTTTCTCTGTCTCCGTTACACGATCGCTTCACCTCTAGCTGTCTCTGTTTATCTTTGTCTCTTACTATCTTTTTATATCCTACCAATATTACTCTTTTTCTGTATCTGTTCATTCCTCTATTCCCCACACATCTCTCCCCTTCTCTCCCTCCCCCTCTCCCTCTCTCTATCTCTCTCTCCTCTAAAACTCCTTCGAAAAAAGATGGCCTTCCATATAATAGTGTAGTATCTATATTTATTCCCTTGGCTGATTCAACTCACAACGTGCGTATTAACAAAAACACAATCGCAACTACTTCGGAAAAAATCAACCTATACTTTATATAATCTAGCGATAAATCTTCGATCAATTTATTTAAAATTTAGTACACCATCACAATGATACAATTATAATAATAATAATAATAATAATGAACATTTGTATAGCGCCTTTTCTACAAGTAGATACAAAGCGCTTAATTAACATATACAATGAACAATTAACAAAATAGAAAGATGCTTAACAACAGACATGTATGTAACAATATAGGAATGAACAAAATAAAGGGTAAGACAGGTAATAGAAGAGCAAGAACAAGTGCTGGTAAGCGGGCATTAGTTAAACAAGTGTGTTTTGAGGTGTTTTTTGAAAGTCATTAGAGAATCAGCAGTTTGTACAAAATTGGGGAGATTGTTCCATGATTTTGGAGCAGTGGCTATGAATGCCCGCTTACCAGCATTGGTTCGACACCTTGGGGTATCTAAAACTGTACGAGTGTTGGATCTTAGGTTGTAACTGGAGTGCCTAACATGAACGAGATCAGTAAGATATGAGGGAGAGAGATAGTGTAACGACTTAAAGACAAGGGTGGAGGTCTTGAAGAGCACTCGCTGTTGAATAGGAAGCCAATGCAGAGAGTTCAACAAGGGCGTGGTGTGTGTGCTCTTTGGTTGTTTGAAGATGAGGCGTGCAGACTGGTTCTGGAGAAGCTGAAGACGGTGAATGTTCTTCGCTGTTGTGCCACTCAACAAACTGTTACAGTAATCAAGACGAGATAAAACTAAGGCACGGACTGCAGCATGAGTGGTACTTTCGTCAAGATATTTTCTAATCCTGCATAAGTTCCGGATATGATATTTGACAGTCCTGACTACATTTGAGACGTGAACATCTGGCAGCATGAGGTTGTCAAAGACGACGCCAAGAATACGCAGCTTCTTTGACGGTTTAATCACAGTCCCATCATGAAGAGTTAGAGTGAAGTTCTGGAGCAATCGTTGATGGACTTTCGAAGCAAAGACTACTAACTCAGTTTTGTCTTGATTAAGTTTCAATTTGTTGGATGTCATCCACCTGTAGACATCTCTCATTGCATCCCGTAGTCTGCATGCAGCATGATCAACAGAGTCCTGGCTAGAAGGGTCGCATTGTATATACACCTGTATATCGTCGGCGTATACATGATAGCCTATGCCATGACTGTAAAGGATATCAGATACAGGTTTCGAGTAGAGCGTAAAGAGCAGCGGGCCCATCACCGATCCTTGCGGGACACCGAACTCCAACCTGGTGTCTAGTGATTTCACTCCTCTGATTCGCACATGTGATAGTCGGTTGCTCAGGTATTATCTAAACCAGTGCAGTGCTGTGCCAGAGACACCATATTCATCCCGAAGCCTTGTCAGCAAGATCGTGTGGTCAAGGGTGTCACATGCAGATGACATATCTAGCGACAGTAGAATGACGCATTTCCGAGCACATGTATGTTTCCGAGCACATAGGATATCATTCTGAAGACTCACCAATGCAGTCTCAGTACTGTGATTTTTCCTATATGCAGACTGTTTAGGATCACCAAGGCTGTTGTCTTCCAAGTAGTTGGATAACTGTGATGAGACGACTCTTTCCATAAGCTTGGCTACAAACCTTATGTTCGAAATGGGCCTGTAGTTTTTCATTCTTTCTTTGTCAAGTCCTGGCTTCTTCAAGACTGGTGTCACAGATGCAACACCTAGAGATGATGGAAAATCGCCTGATGCCAACGATGCGTTGATGATATGCGTCAGCTTTGGCAGCAAAACAGGAAGGTGACGCTTCAGGAGCCACGTTGGAAGAGGATCCAAAGGACATGTCTTGTTGGGTGAGCGTTTGCTCAGCCTCTGAACCTCCTCTGATGTGACCAACTGGAACTCCACGAATGAAGGGGCTGAGATTGCCATACCATTTGGATTGTCCAATTCGTCAACGTTTAAGTCATCTATACATCTCCGCAAGTCTCTGATCTTCTCACTGAAGAATGTGCAGAATGTAGAGGCAAGCTCAACTGATGAATCAGCATCTGGGAGAAATCGTTTACTCTTATTCAGAAGATGCTTCAGTTCTCTATACATGTCCTTTGGAGTACTTTCAGAAAACAGGTCATTGTAGTAGAACCGTTTAGCCCTTGACAGAGCTTCAGCTGCAGCAGCTTTAGCTTCACAGTAGGCCGATCGATCGCTATCGGGATTGACTTTAAGGGATTTACGCCATTTCCGCTCCTGTCTTCTGCGTTCACGTCTTGCAGCATCAACTTCTTCGTTGTACCACTTTGGCCTGTGACGAACTTGCGTGGTGCGGAGACATACAGGCGCATGGATATCCAGGACACGCTCCATGTCTCTGTCAAGATTGAGCACGCAACTGTTTACATCCTCCGCCAAGGGTTGATTGTCAAGGAAACTGGCAAGATCATCGGCAAACAACGTGTGATCAATGTTGCTGAATTTGCGATATTCCTGTGGCCGTTCATCTGTAGATGGTCTTTCACCACGGATCATGCAGCTCACGGCTACATGGTCGGACATGAGGCTCGGATCTGTACGTATGGAACAGAGAAGATTCTCATCTTCCCTCGCAATCACTACATCCAATGTATGGCCGTGTCGATGAGTTGGCTTTGATATGTACTGCTTGAGTCCTGCGGATTTCAGCGTATCTACAACGCGTGCGACATCAGGTCTCTCGGGACAGTCATAATGGACATTCAAATCACCTAAAAGCAGTAGCTTCCCAGGAGTCTGATTCATGTCATCGATGAAGCTGTCAAATTCTTCGAGGAACGTAGATGTTTTCAGACCATTCGTGCTGGATGGTGGTGGACGGTACACAGCAACATAGTTCACCGAACGAGCTTTGTCTGTAATAATGCAGTGCTCAAATGTTGTAAAATGAGGATCAATAGTCACTTGATGTAGTTTCACATCAGACCTGACCAGAGCACCAACACCTCCGCCACGACCGCCAGTGCGTGGAACATTGGTGAAAGTATAACCAGGTGGTGTTACCTCAGCAATTACAGCGTCATCATTTTCAGTCAGCCATGTCTCTGTGACAAACATTACATCAACTTCGTTGGTGATGACATAGTCTTGAAGAAGAAGAGATTTATGTCTCAGTGAGCGAGCATTCCAGTGACAAACATGCTGTAATGTTTCATTTCCGACATTTGCATCAATAACAACATTGGAAGAGTCAATTCCCGTTGACCTCACTAGTTGTTTCCTTCTTGTTCTGTTACCAGCTCGGCAACCTCGATACCTCAGAATGCCATTTTCCTTCAGTAGGGATAGTACATCTGCTGATGGTGTGACCTTAGCACATCTTGAATGTCTCAATGCAATCAGGCTGGACCTTGAATACCGGAGACCATGAATGGGCTTTGTCTCCATTGTTGAAGGGCTTTGATGCACGGTCCAGTGTCTATTCAGACATAAGACTCTAAAATGGTCAAAGTCTTTGTCAATGTTGCTATTCAAAATGCAGTCCTTTGAACCTCCGCATAATAGGTGCTCTGTACTATAGCTTAACACTGCTAGCAGTACAAGTGAAAGTGCAGCAAAATCAGTCGAAAACATATCCTAAAATCTCGCTTTAATCATTCATGAAAAACCACTCAAACACTGTCCAGTAGGATGACAAGGTCCCAAAATGAATGTTGATATAAAAATTGAAGGCAATAGTAGTCAGGAAACACATATAGTAACACAAAATCAGGAGAGCATCCTGAGAGTGGCAGCAGTAGTAAACAGCGCCTTCAAATTATCTAATATGAAAACGCTCCAAATGTATGGTACATTATTGTGAAGTACCAAGCCTGTGGCAAAAGATCGTCTCGTTAATAGTTTACACAAAGAACAATGAATTGCCTGTGCTACCATCCGTTTATATAAAAAACATTATATACATATATCGTATATAATTTTTGATAGCCTACTATATGGGATTAAGTAAAAAAATAAATAAATAAAAAAATTAAAAAAAGATACTCGTATAAACTTATTAAATGTTAAAGGCACCAGCGATGGTAAAGTCCTTTTAAGCTACGGTCTCATGCGACCCCATGGTACAATAATTGATCAAGATTTAGTTGATTTTTGATATGTTTTAATAGAATATCTCCACACCGGAATTACGGATAAAAGTCTGGATATGATTCTGAACTTGCCCAGATTGGATTTGGGTATATCGTCCAAGGGTGAGGTCTTAAATTTTGTTAAGTGTAGGATATTGATCGCTGAGCGATTGTCTCCGGAGCTGTAGAACCCCTTCTCTTCTCCTATCATACATTTTGTGACCTAGATGATAGATTTTCAAATAATCACATAAACAGTTTTTCAGACAAAAGCAACCACCTTTGCCCCTTATTCATATCATTAGTAATAATATTACATATATGCAATTAAGAAATAATTTTTCTGATTTGTGCAAAAGCTTACTAGACTAGAATACGTGAAAATATGTTAAAAAACAGTGAAGATATAATACACACGACTTCTTTTAAAATACAACAAAACCGAATATTGAACCATCCGAAATACGGTATATACATAGAAAGCCTCTTGGAATCTACGATAAAAAATGATAATTTAAAAGGTAAAAAGAAGAAGAAAAAAAATGTATACAAGGTATACATCTTTTTTGACTTAATAATACTAATGCCTATATAATACGCCATATTCGTTTTTGTTTATAATATATGATTACATTTGAAAAATATTTAGGATTAGTGGAATATAATCTTTACAAGTGTTTTATCAATCATACTGTTTTCAAAAATATACATGATGTTGTACAGATATGTATTAAAAGGCCCCTACAGTGACATTTCAGAAACATTATACTGTCTTGTCAAGAAAATATGAGAGTTAAAATAATACCATTAGTCAACCTGTCTATGAAGCTGCAATGTCTTTCAAGTTCTTTTGAAGATGATAAAAAATCTTAATTAGTGTACTTAATTGTTTTGGCACCGTTAGCTTTCATCCCGCCGAATTAGCAGGCTTGCCTAGCTTTGGGATCGCTTTGACTATGATGGTAATTCACGAAACCTGGATATTATTTGTTTATTATTCTTGTTGGCAAATCCCTAGGGGGGTGGCCGGCATGCTTTATGACAAATCTAAGTATGTAAAATGCATCCCTATATTAACTTGAAGCTGAACAAACATGTGTAACATATCAATTTTTTCGTTGATACATTCTTCAGTAAATATGTCGATCAGTGCCAACATCTTGAAGTAAGGTGTGGTTTTGGATTCTTCTGAGTGTAGATACTGGATGTCACCTCATCATGATGTCATTGATCAGTATTCAGACATCTATTTTCCGCTTTCTGTTGAAATATATTAAAAGTAATGATTCGATAGTCATGATAATAATACAATTAATATAAATATTGATAATGAACATCATCATTATAATTATTATACTACTAGTTCAACTATTACTAGGCCCTTCTACTAAAAATGATAATGATTATAAAAATAGTAATAATAACAATAATGTGCAGAATAAAGTGCAGAAAGCTCCAATGATTAGGAGTGGCGAGTGCAATTCATAAGTACTTCTATACTCTGGGATGATTCAGAAAATGTCGGCTAAACAAGGTGTGCTTAGTTTGTGTGGTAGTGGCAACCAATTAAAAAACTTAGCATGATATTTGACTTTGGCCCTCCGCTCATAATTATACTAGTCATTATGCACATGATATATAGTGCACGTGATCAGGCCAGGCGCCATTTTACAAGCGCACACATGCCTAATATCCAACCACATTAACGTTCGCATCCTGCCGGGTACCCAATTAACACATGGGTGGAGAGTGACAAATGTCTTGCCACAGGACATTAGTGCCGAACCATGTGATCCATGGTCGTTGACGCATTCATCCCCGGCATTCAACAGACCATGACAATTTTACAAACATATACGGCAATCAACCGACTTTTTAAGAAATACAATTCTTCAAGGTGATTAAAATCCCAATACCTTGACCCGTTGCATATGTATTAGCCGCTACTGTCATTGGCTGTGCCTGGCCATAATACTGCACCTGTTAGGAGAAACAAAAATGTTACGAATTAAACTGATGCACTTTTAGTTTTATTGGATCTCTTTACTAAATTCTACGGGTCTCGCTCTATTCAGGTTGCATCGGCCGAACATTGGAAAAAAACTGCCGGAAAATCTAAAAATCTGTGATACTGTTGACAACTTTATGGCGGGTCTTTACATTTCTTTTCAAAAGTATTTTCCAATGTTAATGAGAGGAAGTATGTTGAGCATATCTCACTCTTCTTATGTAACTCGATCCACCTTTCCTTTTTACTCTTTCTTACAGCGCATATAGAGACATATTGTGATATATGTTGCGCTATAGAAGTACGGTATATCATTATTCCTTGTAGGAGCGAATATCAGAATCCATCAAACCATTGTAAATAACAAGATAATGGTAAACTTGACTTCTACTAGGGACACATTTTTTACAGAATACTAAAACTTAAATGTTATTTCACAGACCAAAGTCTTTGGAGACGATATTGTATTTATTGTGATTAATGATATCTCTGTTATCGATCCTCAGGTGGATTCAATCAAATTTAATTCAAAATGGTGTAAATCAAAATAGTCATGGATCACGTTATTCATATTGTGACCTCTTTTATAGTTTGGAAAGATATGTCTTCTATGACGGATCCAGGAGGGGGACGGAGGGGGTACGGCCTGCCCCCAACAAAAAACCAAATCTGGCATACCTTATAAACAATAGATAAAATATATGCACCCCACCCCCCCCCACACACACACACACACAAAAGCACAACCGCACACAAACATACGCACACGCATACACTACAAATAGAAATTCCGATTTTGAGAAAAGAAGTACTTAATTTATTTGCTAGTTGAAGATAGCCACTAGAAAATGATAAAAGCTTTTATCTAATATGAGCCAGCCTCCCCCTCCCCCCTCCACCCCCCCCCCCCCAAAAAAAAAAAAAAACTTTCCGAGATTCATTGATTCCCTGTGCATATTTTTGACTGACTTTCGCTCTAAAAAAAAAAAAAAAAAAAAAAAAATCGCTTCAAAGTAGATAAGTACAAAACATGACCCGTTATTCAATGAGTAACATAGGACCTAGGTGAGATATGTATACGTTAACTTGTATCATACCGTGGTAGCAGTATTGGCATTGCCCTGGTTGGTAGGGGCTTTGGCACAGCAGCAGGAGTGTCCCCCACAGCAGTAGACAGCAGACACGATACAGTTAATGAACTCGACCAAGCCGATGATAGCGAGTATGGAGTGAACGCAAACGGCACCCTGGTTGGAAATGTCGAGAAAACAAGATGAATGGGTCGAGGGTTTAGAAGGAAACAAAACTGACAACTACATGTAGAAAGGCGGTGTATACGGATTGTATCAAATGAGTTTGCAACGCGATTTTCTATTGGCAACATCTTAAAAAGTACTTAGCCATTCTTAATTAAACTATCTCGGCTGTTTTGTAGTAATATCGCTTGTCCTGTAGATTTCAAAAGAATTTAAACGAAAACAAAGAAGTTATGATCTTCTTTGTTTTAACGTCGCATTTCTCATATGTTACAAGAAAAGCGTTGAATAGCAACAGAGCACGAGAGCTTGCGCATGAATATATCGTAGCAAGCTCTAAAATGAACTTCAGTTATTGATGCAAAAGGGGTTAAGAATAAGATTAATATCCTTTACACGCACGTTGAGGTAAATTAGTGTCTTCAGTAAATTTTCTGTAATGACATAGTGACCGTATCAAATACAATATGAATAATTATGGAGAAACATACAGGACATTTTAGGAATTTTTTTAGAGAGTCTGAAAAAGGATGTCATAATATCATAGAATCAATCGTAGCGTTTGTTTAATAAATATTTGAAGAGTGGAATATGTAAAACAGTTTTATCTTAAAAGAAGATTTTGTAAAATGATGTGCAGAGCATTATATAACAACTTTCAGCACAACTTAACTGCGCGCAACAAAGGTTCTACCCGTCTTCACTGAACTCTGGGTTATAAGATACAGAAATATGACGTGCAAAACACTTCATGTCATCATAAAGAAGAGGAAAAAACCACCGCGGTTTTGCCTCGTCATTTCTGAACGAGGCTTAAAGGGATAGTTCAGTTTTGTTGCAGAGGGCGTTACACAAAATATTTTTGTGAGATAATGAAAAAGTGAGTGTCAAATTTGAAAGAACATGCAATTTAAATGACAAAATCATCTTTGTTTGATCGAAACCGGTTCGGAGACGGCTGAAATAACCATAAATATAACCATTTCTAATACTTATGTACACCACAAATATTAGATAATTTGAACCAGCCGTTGAAAATAGCGCCTTATACGTTTTATTCCAGCCAATGCCGATGTTGGCTTTTTGTGTTGGTTTTAATACGTACAATCAGCCGACCCATGTATTGTTATTATTAATTAATTCGTCCTTGTTTTCACGAAGTGACGGTAGTGAGGAAAATCGTAACGCAAAGTGAATGCAATTTTTTTTCACTACCGTCACTTCGTGAAAACAGCGACGAATTAATCAATTAACGGTCGCTGTTTTGTTTTTTTTAAAGTAGAGCATAATTTGTAGGATCGTATTGGCTAAATTCCACACATTTTGGGGTCTTAAATTACCTTCGTAGCAATTTTAGGTCCTAGAAACTAGAAACGTCATAAATAAGAATGAAAGCAATAACTTGCGCTTTGAACGCATTTGCTGTCTGAAACAAGAACTCAACTATCACTTTAATTGATGATGGATTCCATGCATTCATAGAATAATGTAAAGATAAAGTGCATATGACTTACCACATTACGATAATGTGCACAGATATACTCGTAGCTGAAACCAGTGTACCGTCGGTAACAAGACCCAAAGTAGGTCATCACTGCGGCTACAAATGATTCATATGCCAGCATCCCGAAAGCATGGAAAGTACACAGGATTGCCATGACCATGTATGCGATGATCTGATAAAGAAATGATGTCACATTGTGATAATGGAATGAAGGGATGGGAGGGAGGGAGGGATGGGAGGGATGGGAGGGGGGAGGCGTCCGCCCCAGATGTCCTCCTTACAGATTTACCATGCCAGTTTTCATCTTTGTTTGTCTCTTATATTTTTTTATCAATCTTTTATGATTTTATCTAATTTTTACTTAGCTGTTCACATACATTTTGGGGAATCATAGGCTAGGAAAGATGTTACATTTTTTAGGTAAACGTCAACAAAATTGCAATAAAATATTTTTCACTGCAATGCATTTAAGTACGGTCCCCCAAATGACATACTAAAAGTCCAAAAAATCCAAGCAGTGGAAGTGTCCCTAATTTGCATAAATCCAATATGGCCGCTATTTCGAGGATTTTCACATAGATTTTGTCATATTTTTCAACTCGTATAGGCTGCTGTGGCACTAAAGGAGTAGGAAAAGTGATCTGCTGTACATTTTGTATCAACTAAAATACCCATATACTACAGGTACATTTCACACCTGAAACAAAGCCCCCGCAGACCCACACCCACACAATCCAACATGTAATTTATGCTCAATTTATCACCTTTATTTAGCAGATGATGTTATTTCGTTATGTAATAGACAAATATCATGTTATTTTAATTATATTGAAAAAACTAAAACAAAAATATTCAGAAAAACTGGCCCTTAGGAGTATCCGTGCAAACACAAGAGTTGTTGGTAGGGCTATGTAGGGGTACAGCCTATACATTACATTATCCTCATGGTAATTGGAATTAGAAGTTGTTCTCAGTGCAACAGTTTACTTAATTTTAGAGAGGTGAAGCATACATTGCATGCTAATGGCTCATCACAGTACAAGTATCCATATTACTGCGGTATTATGCTCTCTAGCAACTATTTTTTATCAAATATTCAACTAAGTTAGACCCGTAAGCTTTTGCTGTGTTATATCCATGATGCCTAATTCATAGTCGTTCATTGTAGAACTTTTAAAGTTGAACACCAAATAATAGTTTCTCATAACATCACAGTATTTCAAGACTTATGCCCTAACAACAGATGCTACTGAGGAAGAAATGGACAACTTTATGGAGTCTTACAAGATACCCTGGACAGTATCTCGGGGAGGGATATCACAATGATGATTGGAGACTGTAATGCCAAAGTGGGAAAGGATGTTAGAGAAACTTGCAATATTGGAAAAATTGGTTTAGGTGACAGAAATGAGCGTGGAGACAGGCTTGTGGAGTTTTGCACTGCAAATGACCTATAGTCATTGGCAATACCATGTCTCAACATCAAAAGAGGCGACTCTGGACCTGGAAAAGTCCTGGAGATAGAGTGAAGAATCAGATAGATTATATCATGATTAAGAGAAGGTGGAGGACAACTTTACTTGTTAAGACAAGACCAAGTGCCGATTGTGGGAGTGACCACCAAATGTTGCTTGGTAAAATGAAACTGAGACTCAAGTCCAAGAAGACAACTGCTCAACCAGTCAGATTTGATGTGATGAATATACCAGCACAGTTCACTACTGAGACTGGTAACAGATTCATGCCACTTCTACAACTGGCAGAAAAAGATGTGAAACCAGAAGTGCTGTGGGCAAGCACATCAGATTTACTGAAAAAGACTGCTCAGGAATACATACCATGGAAGAAAAGGCAAAAACAGGCATGGCTAACAACTAGTACAATGGAAATTGCAAGTGAAATAAGGCAAGCAAAATCAGAAGGGAGACACACAGATTGGAGACAACTAAATAAGGAATATAACCAAAAAGCATGTTAAGGTAAAAGAGCATCCCTAGAAGGAAAATGTGAAGAAATGGGAAATGCAGCAAAGAAGCACAACATGAAGTAAGTTTTCAAACTTGTAAAAGAGATTACTGGAGACAGCAGCATGAACACTGATGTTGTGAATGACAAAAATTGAACAACTCTGACAGAGGAAATGGACATAAAACAGAGATGGGCAGAGTACTGCAGGGATTTGTACAACAGTAGAGAGCCAGATTAGAGAGACAACATACCGGTTGGGGAAGACAGAGAACCACCTCCACTGAGATCGGAAGTTGAATGGGCTCTGAACCATATAGATAATGGTAAATCTCCTGGAATGGATAATATACCTACTGAAGTATGGAAAGCAACAAGGTTTAAAAGGTATTGATCTCTTATGGCGGCTATGTATCAAGATATGGGAGAATGAAGCATGGCCCAAAGACTGGTGCAGAGCTATTTTCATACCTTTACCAAAGAAAGGCAATCAGAAAGAATGTTCTAATCATAAAACCATCAGTCTTCTTGTTCATGCGAGCAAAATACTATGAAAGATCATCATTGACAGGATGAAAAGGAGGTACGTGGATGAAATGTCAGAGGAGCAATCGGGCTTTGTGCCCGGAAAAGGTACTAGAGATCAAATTGCAAACATCAGGATGATTATAGAAAAATGTAGAGAACATAACATGCCTTTATACTTGTGTTTCATAGATTATGCAAAGGCTTTCGATTGTGTAGAGATCACAAGATGTTGTGGGATGATATGTACAGAATGGGATTCCCAGCACACCAGGTGAGATTAATAACCAAGCTTTACGAAGATCCAGAAGCAGCTGTTCGGACTAGTGTTGTCTCTTATTATAGCACTTCGACACGGTTTTGATCATGCATCAGGCATCACAGTAACGTGGCCATTGCTGTGTCACTGAATCATGACTGTACGTAGCTGGGCTAGAGTAGGGGGCGGCCCCCACGAATATAAAAAAGAAAAAAAGAAAATGCAATAAATTATAAACAATTCATTGCCTTTCATTGCCCCCGCTGCGTACAGTCATGATTCAGTGGCACAGCAATGGCCTAGTAACTGTGAGGCCCCAGGATCAAAACCGTGTCGATGTGCTTTATTAGTGCCCTTTTGTGTGGCATTAATCCTCATTTATGTCAGTAATGACTTAAGGACGTAGGTCCCCTATAGTTGATAAGCATAGTAGCATACACATGCTTAAAGGTAATGCAAAGTTTTAGGAATTCTTGAAAATTGGATGGATACTAATTCTTTAACATGTTGATATATTTGGATGCCCCTGTGAATGTATTATAAGCTTTAGATAATTTAGCTCCTAAAACATTTCTGCTCTCGAGTAATTGAATAATAAAAAAATTACCGGTGCTCCCGGTAAATTTAGAATATTTCAAATAGCGCATAAGGCTATTCCATGGTAGCTGCGACCATGAAATTCTCAGAATATCCAGTTATGATATATAATTTCCAAACAGGAATAGAAAATCGGTATAGTCAAGAAATATTGTTTAAACGCTAAAGTAGTATCAGTCTTGAGAGGGAGCTATACAACATAAAGAGTTTATTATGTACAGTTTCATCACTTTAAACTCGATTTCAACCGTGACAACGATCACTAAATAGTGTAAAATCGCATATGTTTCCAATATGTTCATTTGAACCATATTCATGACCCTATACCAAAACTTTGTATGACCTTTAAGCAGTCACGCAAAACAAACACTCGCAACTTATTATTTAATAAAATTTGAGAATGTATACTATTATCTAGATCTATTAGGAATAAATCATTGTCAAAATCATTCCATAAATCGGGGTTAAAAAAATATTTCATCTTTATGACCAACAGTGTATTCTAAGTCCCTTTTTTGTTCATATGATTCATTATTATTTGACTTGGATCCCTATGAAAGAAAACCATTGAGCTGACAAGGGCAATCCAACCCATGAGGGGTGAATAAATAAATCAAATCAAAGCAATATGATAGACCTAAGTGGAAAAAGGGATTAATAGGCATCACTTACCACGCACGAGTTCTTCTTCTTGCTAACGATCCCTAAGATTCCTGTAGGGATATAGAACTGTAAAGAGTTTGTTTAAAGAGATAAAAAAATCAAGGTACCTAATGAGAAAAGGCACACATACAGCCTAATTGAACAATATTTTCCTTTGATTGTGTACTGGATACATTACAGACAAATACGTACACCTGGATGTTTAAAGTGGAAAAGAAATTGCCCAAAAGACGATGTTCCCCCTCATGCTTTCTTGCCTTATATCTGGCAGACGCTCTTAGAGAACTTAGAGAAAATACGACGTAAATTTTTAAACCACAACTTTTCTTTGAAAACCTTAATATAAGAAAGAGGTAAGTTGCTGGTGTAAGAATAATCTCTGTGTCCGATGGATGCCATATAGAGGGGCTACTAGAAAAAGAGACGGAGATTTTAATATTTTTTTACGAAATCGAAAAAGGTGAAGCAATAAAAGACTAAATAATATTTCTTGGAAATTGTAAGGCATCATGAAGCATCAATATCCAGACAGCAGTTCAGAGTAGAGTCCCCGAAACGGATTTACATTAAATTCAAGCATTCGAGCCAAGATTTTAAGTATTGTATGGACTTGACAAGATGAGGGAGGGGACTGAAGATTTTTTTTCAAACTTCGGGAGAAGTTGTCTATCACACGGGGATCAAGGTATTCAAATTAGATAATAATAATAATAAAAAGACCCCCACCCCTAAAAAAAATATTTTAAAAAAAAAAATCGCCAATGAAAGAAGATTAACTTACAATGAAGGCAGACCAGATTCCATAGCCGACCTGATACACTGCTGGAAACGCGTATGCAACCCCGCCGAGAATGACGGATAGGATAGCTACGATCAGATGCACTATCCCCGTAGCAAAGCCGGCGTTTTGGTTGTAATGTTCGGATGTATCGTTCCAACCACCCGAACTGCTGCCAGTCTAAAGGGGTTAAAACAAAATTGAGGAAAAGTTTGAAAAGTAGGCAAAGAAGAATATAGTCTGGAAAACAAAGCCATGGGATTCAAAGCGTTGAAAGCAAAATGGTATGGTTGTTCATATTATCTACTACATCTATTTAAATCAATAGCGCACATCATTAGTCATTGTCAAACTGGATTTTAATTATTATCGCGTAAATATAAACACATGTCTCTACCTGATACATTTTTTTTTCTGTAGCGTTGTAAAAAGAAAATTTCAAGTGGTTATTTTGGTGTATAGTCATGAAAACGAAAATGCTTCGATACTTATCAATAAGTTTAACTTTCATTCACTTTGAATTGCAAGTACATAGCAGGGAAAAGATAGACCAACACCTAATCCCTAGAGAAAACAAATTATATTAGCTCATAGAAAGGAGAGAGAATTAGGCCTACATTTTGTTCTGTAGTCCCAAAGTTCTATGTTTTGCTACATATTGTTAATTTTTAACTTGATGTTGTAGATATCAAGCATATCAGGAGCTCTTGCAGCGCAGTAGAATATATTTGCATAGTGCCTGCGCTCTATAAATGTATATTCTTATTATCATTTTACTACAATAAGTCCCTAACAGAGCGACCCCAGTCTACGCCCAAAGGATTTATCAAATAATTGAATAAATCCTACAGAAAATGATAGGCCATATCACGTATCCCTGTGGAACACCACATGGATCCCTCAATAAGAGATTCTTACTTGGTACACATGGGTGGCGCCCCCTTGAGTGATGACGACCTGCTGACCTGGCGGATACACTACCCCTGGTTGGCCTTGCGGATAAGCTACTGGTTGACCCTGTGGATATGCTACCGGTTGGCCCTGCGGATATGCTACCGGTTGACCTTGTTGATATGCTACCGGTTGGCCTTGCGGATATGTTCCCGGTTGACCTTGTTGATATGCTACCGGTTGGCCCTGTGGATAAGCTACCGGTTGACCTTGTTGATATGCTCCCGGTTGGCCCTGCGGATAAGCTACCGGTTGGCCCTGTTGATATGCTACCGGGTGGCCCTGCGGATTTGCTGCCGGTTGACCTTGTGGATATACTCCGGGAGGTGGGTCGGCGGTAGTCTGTTGTTCAGGGGGAGTGTAGACTGGTGGTTCGGCCATGTTGGAGTCGGGTCAAATTTACCTAAAACGGTGGAAAATATTAAAATTCTTCTTTCCATCATAATGTACTTGATGATGTCCATAATATATATATATATATATATATATATAATGAAATTAGAGACTAATTGAGCATTGATTTGTAAATAATACTCAGTGCCCTTTACCTTTTTTCATTTTTGCAAAGGTTTAAACAAAAAAAACCATCTCCGCTGGTAATCGTACCCTGGTCCCTGACTTAAATCACCTAATTTCGTTTGTGAAATCAAATGGGCCGATTTTTTTTTGTTAATGTATTACGAGCCCTACTTTATTGCGTGAACAATACCCCTTTACCAGAGATTTTGGGAACATGAATGCTCCCGGAGTGGGGCTGGGCATGCACTAGACATGGGCCAATAGTTTCGGCGTTGCCGGATTCAATTTTATTGTCCCATAATTTGACAAATATTTAACCTTTATTAATTTTTTGTCGGCGGCATTTGAGATATGAACAATGCAAAGCCGAGTGCCTCTGGTGAATCCTAACTTTCAGCTTCAAATACATTGATAAGTGTAAATTCAACGACTTTGGCGACTCTATTGGCAATGAATACACCATTGTGAGAAATGTAAATGAGAGAATATTATGACATAATGAATCCCGGAGCAATTAACGGCGGTGAGATTTTAGATCATTTTTCCCTTAGTCTTTCTTCTTTTTTTGCATAGAACATGGTTGCAGGGCCCTCAGGGAAAACAGTATTACATTGATAAGGTTAAGCCCTCGGTAAACGAGGCATATTATTATGTTTATTATTATTATTATCATTATCATTATTATTTATTATTCTCCGGAACTGATAATGATAAACAAAATACAGTTTTAGTACTGCTACATACAGGTACAAAGTGACGTACTTATGAACCTACAGTAATTGTAATAAAATCAGACTAATAAAAGAAAACGATGAGTGAGAAATAGAAGGGAAAAAACAGGTTTATGATATTAAAAATTGCACGTGTTCTACATTAAGTAGGAAAAATTTTAAATTTGCAAGCACATATTCCATTCCTATTTTGAATGAATTTTACAAATGTATTCGTGATCATTAATGACTGAATATACATATGGGAAAATAACACAAACATATGGCCAAATAATATATTTAAGTCACTGGTATAATAAAGGTTTTTCCATGGTTAGTGAAAAAAGACATATTTTATGAAATGTTATGATTTTTTTTTAACGGAGAAAATAGGAGAAATGTACTCAAGGTTAATCACAGTCACCAATTTGGGCTTGATAATCGTGACCTTTAACTTTCTGGATTATGCCCTTCTTCTCCCCCTCAAGAGGGAAATAAATATAGCATGAATATCTTAGCAATATCTCACAATAACTCTTGTTATCTTAAGTTGACTGTATTTGTTCATAGACCCCATGCTGGAACTATACACAATCATCACAAAAGAAAGGAGGTCATCTAAATTCCACTGACGCAAATCGAATCCTTTGTACAATGATTGGTTACCTCTGCCTTTGGAATCAGGTCTACAAGTGGCAATCTATTCAATTTGAAAATTAAAAAAGCTTTCAAAAAAATTCTCTCTCACCGCCCCAGGCAACTCATCGTTCAAAATTGCAATATTGAAAAACTCAAATTTGATACGGAGCAGTGATTAATAATGGAATAATATATATAATGTTTAAATAATGGGAACTTGGATTTTGCAATACGGGACGAAACAAGACACGCAAACATTTTCAAATTGTTACGATTACATCAATATGTTTCATTTAACCAACGGCATATGTTTTAATACCAGTTTGTACCATTTGGCACTAATGTCCTTTGGCAAGACATTAATCTACATTTGCCACACTCGACCCAGGTGATTCCAATGGGTACCTGGCAGATATTAATTCCTTGAAATGCTAGAGCGTCGTAATGGCAGACATGCTGAAAGCCAGGTGACGATTGCATAGCGCCAGGAGCGTCAATTATTAAGTCTGACAGACATAAGCGCTGTACAAGAACTCACTATCATTATTATCACAAGTTTCCTTTACAAAACATAATTGTTATATTCCACATAATCATATATCTTGGAATAATTGATTTAATATAATTTGTATTTTAAATTGTATAGGATGTGTTTTTTGATATTTGTAATGACTACACGCAAGGGCACTTCAAATTGGCTGAATGTAGTGCCGGAAAACTGTCCTATTTGACATGTTCCAAGAAACAAAATTACTTAAATGTACATTTTTCAAAATATAGAACTCAGGAGGGCTTTCCATGGGCTGTCCATGACTACGTCATAATCCACTCATCAGATAGGCAATTTGAAATTTACATAGATTTAGTGATCTCATAATTGTCTCAGACATTCACAACTCTCCTTATTATCGGTAAGTTTTTTTTATTAAACTTTCGCCATTCTGTTTCTCTTATATTTTACTGCTTTCATACAAATCTATGAACTTATTACCAATGGTTGATTACGCTTTCACTTGCCACAGTAGAGACTAGTGATTGTGAACGCATCATAACAATATTATACGTCCATAAATGGGTGTGGAAAAGTGGTGGACTTTGGTCTACAGTACTGTGATACAATGTCGGGTACAATGTGTAGTCTGCGTGGCACAGCTTTGGGTATTTCAAAAGAGTCGTAATAAACCGTTGTATGTATATATATATATATATATATGACATATAAATGCAGATAAGGGCGTTTTATAGTTGTCAATCTGGTTTCCTGCATTAAAATGATTCATGACTGAATACTTGGCTTTATTACTGCTCCAGCCTACTGTGCTACATTGCTCCGGACTCTATTTTATCAATAGTTTAGGTATAGGTGCGGTGTAATTTTGTGCAGGGTTGAAATTTAAAAAATTCAGATATTACTGGATATTTACCACGGCAGTGCGCTGTCACAGGAGCAGAGACAGTGATACGACCTTATGCTCCTGCGACAATTATACGCCATTTTCATGATGTAATAACATTTAATGCATATATCTTTGTTAATTGCCTCGTTACAAATTATTTTATTCACCTGTCATGAGTAACTGTATTTAAATAGTCAGAATGCGAATTGTTTACATTACTTGTAATAAGGTAGGGAAATCCATAATATTTGTCCATCCTAGCAATAATTAACGTATGCAATAAGCATGTATTTAATAATGAAAGACAAATTCATGTTAAAATATTAATTTGAAAATCTTAACTGTATAAGTAGTGAAAACAAATTATTTTGTGTTTATGCGGAAAACAGTATGCTATTTATAGTATAGTATTAATGACTGCTTTGAGAGAAATAGTTGTTTTTATACGCTCAAGGGAAGGTTAGAATTGTGCTATTGCCCCGAGGCGTGCCGAGGGCAATAGCCCAATTGTAACCTTCCCGAGAGCGTATAAAACAACTATTTCTCGAATATTAAAGCAATCATTAATACTTTTATATGCCGAAAAAAATAGACTAAAAAATAAAAAATAAAAAATAACAAAACTTTTGTCGAAGATGGGATTCGAACTCTTGCGTACAAAAGGTGAGGTTAGTAAAGTCAGCGCCTTAGACTGCTCGGCCAGCGCGCTCTGTCACCATGTACAGTAGTTTTCTCTAATATATACATTAAAAAGGATTGAAAACGGCTTCGAGTGGTGGATGCTTCGCCGCTGCTCCATTAAACGGGCCCTTCTTTTACTTTTGCAATGCATATTGGCACGAACTTAGATCAAGATCTATCGGCAGATGTTGTTTTTTTGTTTTTGGAAGTTTATTTTCGTCTTCAGGTCAACAATGCAAGATAAAATTGTCGGTAAGATCGATCGAGATTCAATTGTATTGAAATTACCAACCAATTCTTCGCACACGTACGGTATCCTCGATCGCTCAGACCATTTTTTAACATGTAAACCTATGGGGTAACCATGGAGACTGACCTATTTTCCCAATAACCATGGTTATTGGGATTTTGAACTGTTTTAACCATGGTTACTGGGAATTTTCGGGAACAGTTAAGTTTATGAATGCAATTTCGACCAATCAGATGGCTGGATTTCTTAAGTGAGGTATATAATTCTTTATATGTCCTTTTATGGAGTTTACTATAGATATGGAAGAAAGTACTTGAAAATTGTATCCTAGTCTTTTCAATTGGTAAGTTTACGATACTACATAAGTATTAAGAGTACCCAAACAGCTTGATTTACATCATGGTTTTTCGTCCACTTAAAGGTACTATGTCCCATTTGCCCATTTGCAGGCCAAAAATGAAAAAGTTAAATTCCAACTGCATTTGAAAGATAATACTAATTTAGAACTTCCCTAAAAATGGTGGGGCTTGAAAATTTCTACAAGAGGGAAAATAACGACTATTAGTTGTCAAATCGACTTTAGGGCTATAGAGCCCAAAAGTAATAGTCTTGATTTTCAGACAATTGTACCGAATGGTCATACGTTTTATGCTGCGCAAAGATTCAATCAGTTTAATCTTGGCCATCACCAGAAGTGGGTTATTGATGTAGACAAATGCTTATGTACCCTTTACAACTCTTTTCATGTATGTTATTACCAAAGAAGAAAAAAGCCAGTCAGTCACTTAGTAGTGTCTGACAGTGAAGTCTAGCAAGTAAACGGGTTTCCTTGCATAATTCGAATATGAGGACACTGCTAACGTTTAAATTTCACAGATAGGACATACATGACATATTCATAATTCCTGCAAAGTTCTACAGAATTTGAGGTTGGCTGCAAAAGGGACATAGTATCTTTAACACCAAGGACAATTTAAAGATCTCTCGACAACAGACACCTAGTATAATGTGTAAAGAATCAATTGGTTTGAGAAAGTCCACAGGCTGCATGAGCGGATGACAACTTGCCAACTAAATTACATGTTATGATCACCCAAAGTCCCTGCCCAGGCAATGACAGTTTTATGTATCACCTTGAAACGTGTGTGTTGATTCTCATCATGTGATCAATATTGTACCACGTGCAGGACTACATGTTTCACAATATAAACTCATTATACTACATTCATCATATTACGCAGGGGAAATATTATTTTGAAACATCTGCCTATTTCATAATTATTTTAGGTGATGCACTCGCAGCTGGCCTCGATATTCAAACTTTTAAAAAAAATGTAAACCACATCACATTGTACCGATTTCACTCCACAAACGAAATTGCAGAATGATTACAGAAATTTATGATGAGTATTGTGTTTGAAAATATTTCGTTATATTGCTGCTAGGTAATACATTATATAAAACTAAACACCTACAACAATAATGATAATAGTATAACAAACAAAAAAAATTAAAAAAATATTAATGATAATGATAATAATAATGACAACAGTGATAGTGCTGCTGATGAAGATAATTATTATCCTTAATAAGATTTGTGTTAAACAATGGGATATACAAATAGAGGAATAGAGAAAGAGAAGACGAATATCGGAAATTTGAGGGGACAGAAATGAAATAAAAAATACGTGCATTAAAAGAGCGCTTACAAAACTACAGATTTTGTAGAATAACAAAAGATTGACATTGTCAAATAAAATATCTATTGACCCGTACAAGGCCGCAGTTGTGCAGTAGCCTAATGGAAAATGGGATGCAGACATATGCAATTGCATATGAAGCTGGCCGCCATAGCCATACATTAATAGCGCTGATGATAATACGTTAGATATTATGATTGTAGGGTACACAGTAACACCAGAAGTATATACATCTACCTGCATATCCTTTCCAAGATGAAAATTGCTCGAGGGTTAGAATCATATATAAAGAAATGTGCATAAAAAACATTGCATCTCAACAATATGTATTCGTACAAGTCCTTGTTCTTTGAAACATATGTCATATAATATTAGAATTGTCATTTATTTAATAATCGTGCAAATTTCGTGACGATATCAATATTTAATGATAGGTAGATAAAACACGCCACTTACCAGTCATAGTTCTGCTATTTTCTTCCCTATGTAATATAATACTGGACTTGTCATTTATTTAATAATCGTGCTAATTTCTTGACGATATCAATATTTAATGATGGGTAGATAAAACACGCCACTTACCAGTAATAGTTCTGCTATTTTCTTCCCTATGTAATATAATACTGGACTTGTCATTTATTTAATAATCGTGCTAATTTCTTGACGATATCAATATTTAATGATGGGTAGATAAAATACGCCACTTACCAGTAATAGTTCTGCTATTTTCTTCCCTTAAAAAGGCATTAGTAGAAAGCAGTGCGGTATTATCTCGGTAGTACTACGCCCTGAGATAGCTGTACACAGAGTCATATAAAACTGTAGTGCGTATAATATGTAAAGACACACTTTGCAAAATGGAAGATATTTATAGTCTTGACGCACTTTCCCTGCATTCGTTGGTGTGTGGGCGGTTATATGTATTAGTCTTAATTCACAGACTCTTTTATACCTTACCCTCACCGCCAAAACCAATTCTGTACCGACTACAAACCGACCGATTCCTCGACATTGGAGGTAACGTAATTTGTTTTCACTCTTCGGCCTGCTTTTGGTTTCATATTTGTCTTCTTGATGTAACTCGGGTATCAAGTTCGTATATTTAATTAAACTAAAAACCTAGCTACCAACGTTTACAATAGGGTATCAGTTAATAACAAGAATAATAATATTAACTAGAACTTCGATCGTATTAGAACGATATGCATTGGCGCCCGTGTTTTTACGTGACAGACAAAAGAGCCTCTTTTGGACTATCCAGGGCAATTTCTTATAGAAGTCTGTAGCATGTATGAAAGTGGGTATAGGTTGTTAAATTAAATAATGTTAGGTGGGAACATGTATACAACTGTGATATCCATTCTTCTGTTCAAGTGTTTGTGAATTTTAGTTGAGGTCAAAACTTGTTGGCCTGTACATTTTTGGGGTAATGAATATTGTGTTTTCTTTTTATTCCAAACGAGATATAGTTCAAATAAATGTTTTAATTAGAATATGGTTTACTGTTAATTATGTTTTTTATGGTGTTAGAGCTAGAGAAATGCATATTGAGTTTACCATGCAACTCACTTTTTATCAAATATATCTGCCTTTTTCCTCCTCTCTCACACACACACAAACACACACACTCTCTCTCTCGCTCACTCTCTCTCTCTCTCTCTCTCTTTCTGTCTTTCACTCTTTCTCTGTCTCCGTTACACGATCGCTTCACCTCTAGCTGTCTCTGTTTATCTTTGTCTCTTACTATCTTTTTATATCCTACCAATATTACTATTTTTCTGTATCTGTTCATTCCTCTATTCCCCACACATCTCTCCCCTTCTCTCCCTCCCCCTCTCCCTCTCTCTATCTCTCTCTCCTCTAAAACTCCTTCGAAAAAAGACGGCCTTCCATATAATAGTGTAGTATCTATATTTATACCCTTGGCTGATTCAACTCACAACGTGCGTATTAACAAAAACACAATCGCAACTACTTCGGAAAAATCAACCTATACTTTATATAATCTAGCGATAAACCTTCGATCAATTTATTTAAAATTTAATACACCATCACAATGATACAATTATTTAATATGAAAACGCTCCCAATGTATGGAACATTATTTTGAAGTACCAAGCATGTTGCAAAAGATCATCTCGTTAATAGTTTACACAAAGATATTCACGTTACAATGAATTGCCTGTGCTACCATCCGTTTATAAAAAAACTAAAAAAAACCATTATATACATATATCGTATATAATTTTTGATAGCCTACTATATGGGGTGAAGTAAAAAAAAAAAAAAAAAAATAACAAAAATTAACAAAAAATAACAAAGATAATCGTATAAACTGATTAAATGTTAAAGGCACCAGCGATGGTAAAGTCCTTTTAAGCCACGGTCTCATCCGACCCCACGTACAATGGATGAAGATTCAGTTGATTTTTGATATGTTTTTAGTAGAATATCTCCACCCCGGAATTACGGATAAAAGTCTGGATATGATTCTTAACTTGCCCAGATTGGATTTGGGTATATCGTCCAAGGGTGAGGTCTTAAATTGTGTTAGTGTAGGATATTGATCGCTGAGCGATTGTCTCCGGAGCTGTAGATCCCCTTCTCTTCTCCTATCATACATTTTGTGACCTAGATGATAGATTTTCAAATAATCACGTAAACAGTTTTTCAGACAGAAGCAATCACCTTTGCCCCTTATTCATAACATTAGTAATAATATTACATATATGCAATTAAGAAATAATTTTTCTGATTTGTGCAAAAACTTACTAGACTAAAATACGTGAAAATATGTTAAAAAACAGTGAAGATATAATACACACGACTTCTTTTAAAATACAACAAAACCGAATATTGAACCATCCGAAATATATACATAGAAAGCCTCTTGGAATCTACGATAAAAAATGATAATTTAAAAGGTAAAAAGAAGAAGAAAAAAAATGTATACAAGGTATACATCTTTTTTGACTTAATAATACTTATGCCTATATAATACGCCATATTCGTTTTTGCTTATAATATATGATTACATTTGAAAAATATCTAGGATTAGTGGAATATAATCTTTACAAGTGTTTTATCAATCATACTGTTTTCAAAAATATACATGATGTTGTACAGATATGTATTAAAAGGCCCCTACAGTGACATTTCAGAAACATTATACTGTCTTGTCAAGAAAATATGAGAGTTAAAATAATACCATTAGTCAACCTGTTTATGAAGCTGCAATGTCTTTCAAGTTCTTTTGAAGATGATAAAAATCTTAATTAGTGTACTTAATTGTTTTGGCACCGTTAGCTTTCATCCCGCCGAATTAGCAGGCTTGCCTAGCTTTGGGATCGCTTTGACTATGATGGTAATTCACGAAACCTGGATATTATTTGTTTATTATTCTTGTTGGCAAATCCCTAGGGGGTGGCCGGCATGCTTTATGACAAATCTAAGTATGTAAAATGCATCCCTATATTAACTTGAAGCTGAACAAACATGTGTAACATATCAATTTTTTCGTTGATACATTCTTCAGTAAATATGTCGATCAGTGCCAACATCTTGAAGTAAGGTGTGGTTTTGGATTCTTCTGAGTGTAGATACTGGATGTCACGTCATCATGATGTCATTGATCAGTATTCAGACATCTATTTTCCGCTTTCTGTTGAAATACATTAAAAGTAATGATTCGATAGTCATGATAATAATACAATTAATATAAATATTGATAATGAACATCATCATTATAATTATTATACTACTAGTTCAACTATTACTAGGCCCTACTACTAAAAATGATAATGATTATAAAAATAGTAATAATAACAATAATGTGCAGAATAAAGTGCAGAAAGCTCCAATGATTAGGAGTGGCGAGTGCAATTCATAAGTACTTCTATACTCTGGGATGATTCAGAAAATGTCGGCTAAACAAGGTGTGCTTAGTTTGTGTGGTAGTGGCAACCAATTAAAAAACTTAGCATGATATTTGACTTTGGCCCTCCGCTCATAATTATACTAGTCATTATGCACATGATATATAGTGCACGTGATCAGGCCAGGCGCCATTTTACAAGCGCACACATGCCTAATATCCAACCACATTAACGTTCGCATCCTGCCGGGTACCCAATTAACACCTGGGTGGAGAGTGACAAATGCAGATTAATGTCTTGCCACAGGACCCCCCCCCCCCCCCCCACACTCCGAGAACGGACGGACCCCATGCGTGTTGCCAAAATGTCCTTTTCGTAACAAAAGAAAAGGTCGACCCGTATTGACTTTACACACCGGACTTTTGCTGAAAGGGGGGGGGGGTACTGAAAGAGGCTCGTATACAAAAGAAAAAGGTCGAGCCGTATTGACTTTACACACCGGACTTTTGCTGAAAAGGGGGGGGGGGGTCGGTTGGAACACGCATATGCGTACCCTAAATAACACTGAGTGGGGGGGGGGGGCCGGGCACAGGACATTAGTGCCGAACCATGTGATCCACGGTCGTTAACGCATCCATCCCCGGCAATTTTACAAACATATACGGCAATCAACCGATTTTCAAGAAATACAATTCTTCAAGGTGATAAAAATCCCAATACCTGGACCCGGTGCAGTATTAGCTACTGTCATTGGCTGTGCCTGGCCATAATAGTGCACCTGTTAAATGAGAAACAAAAATGTTACGAATTAATCTTATGCACTTTTGTTGGATCTCTTTACTAAATTCTACGGGTCTCGCTCTTTCGTTTAGGTTACATCGGCCGAACTTTGGAAAAAAAACTACCGGAAAATCTAAAAATCTGTGATACTGAAGACAACTTTAAGGCGCGTCTTTACATTTCTTTTCAAAAGTATTTTCCAATGTTAGCGAGAGGAAGTATGTTGAGCATATCTAACTCTTCTTATGTTACTCTATCCACCTTTCCTTCTTACTCTTTCTTACAGCGGATCCAGGAGGGGGACGGAGGGGGTACGGCCTGCCCCCAACAAAACCAAATCTGGCATACCTTATAAACAGTAGATAAAAGATATGCACCCCACCCTCCGCCACCCCCCCCCCCCACACACACACACACACACACACACACAAAAGCCCACCCGCACACACAAACCCACGCACTCGTACGCAAACAAACGCACACGCACACACTGCAAATAGAAATTTCAATTTTGAGAAAAGAAGTACTTCACTTATTTTCTAGTTGAAGATAGCCACTAGAAAATGGTGAAAGCTTTTATCTAATACGAGCCAGCCTCCCCCCCCCCCCCCTCCCCAAACTTCCCGAGATTTATTGATTCCCTGTGTATATTCTTGGCTGACTTTCGCTCTAAAGTTTAAAAAAAAAATCGCTTCAAAGTAGAAAAGTACAAAACATGACCCGTTATTCAATGAGTAACATAGGACCTAGGTGAGATATATATACGTTAACTTGTATCATACCGTGGTAGCAGTATTGGCATTGGTCTGGTTGGTAGAGGCTTTGGCACAGCAGCAGGAGTGTCCCCCACAGCAGTAGACAGCAGACACGATACAGTTAATGAACTCGACCAAGCCGAGGATAGCGAGTATGGAGTGAACGCAAACGGCACCCTGGTTGGAAATGTCGAGAAAACAAGATGAAAGGGGCTTAGAAGGAAACAAATCTGACAACTACATGTAGAAAGGCGGTGTATACGGATTGTATCAAATGAGTTTGCAACGCGATTTTCTATTGGCAACATCTTAAAAAGTACTTAGCCATTCTTAATGAAACTATCTCGGCTGTTTTGTAGTAGTATCGCTTGTCCTGTAGATTTCAAAAGAATTTAAACGAAAACAAAGAAGTTTTTCTTTTTTTGAACGTCGCATTTCTCATATGTTACAAGAAAAGCGTTGAATAGCATCAGAGCACGAGAGCTTGCGCATGAATATATCGTAGCAAGCTCTAAAATTAATTTCAGTTATTGATGCAAAAGGGGTTAAGAATAAGATTAATATCCTTTACACGCACATTGAGGTAACTTAGTGTCTTTAGTAAATTGTCTGTAATGACATAGTGACCGTATCAAATAAAATATGAATAATTATGGAGAAACATACAGGACATTTTAGGAAATGTTTAGAGAGTCTGAAAAAAGATGTCATAATTTCATAAAATCAATCGTAGCGTTTGTTTAATAAATCTTTGAAGAGTGGAATATGTAAAACAGTTTTATCTTTAAAGAAGATTTTGTAAAATGATGTGCAGAGCATTATATAACAACTTTCAGCACAACTTAACTGCGCGCAACAAAGGTTCTACCCGTCTTCACTGAACTCTGCGTTATAAGATACAGAAATATGATGTGCAAAACACTTCATGTCATCATAAAGAAGAGGAAAAAACCACCGCGGTTTTGCCTTGTCATTTCTGAACGAGGCTTAAGGGGATAGTTCAGTTTTGTTGCAGAGGGCGTTACACAAAATATTTTTGTGAGATAATGAAAAAATGAGTGTCAAATTTGAAAGAACATGCAATTTAAATGAAAAAAATCATCTTTGTTCGATCGAAATCGGTTCGGAGACGGCTGAAATATCCATAAATATAACCATTTCTAATACTTGTGTACACCACAAATATTAGATAATTTGAACCAGCCATTGAAAATAGCGCCTTATACGTTTTATTCCAGCCAATGCCGATGTTGGCTTTTTGTGTTGGTTTTAATACGTACAACCAACCGACCCATGTATTGTTATTATTAATTAATTAATCAATTAACGGTCGCTGTATTCTTTTTTTAAAGTAGAGCATAATTGGTATGATCGTATTGGCTAAATTCCACACATTTTGGGGTTTTAAATTACTTTCGTAGCAATTTTAGGTCCTAGAAACTAGAAATGTCATAAATAAGAATGAAAGCAATAACTTGCGCTTTGAACGCATTTGCTGTCTGAAACAAGAACTCAACTATCACTTCAATTGATGAAGGATTCCATGCATTCATAGAATAATGTAAAGATAAAGTGCATATGACTTACCACCGAACGATGATATGCACAGATATAATCGGAGCTGAAACCATAGTACCGTCGGTAACAAGACACAAAGTAGGTCAGCACTGCGGCTACAAATGATTCATATGCCAGCATCCCGAAAGCATGGACAGTACACAGGATTGCCATCACCATGTATGCGATGATCTGATAAAGAAATGATGTCACATTGTGATAATGGAATGGAGGGATGGGAGGGCGGGATGGGAGGAGGAGGCGCCCGGCCCGGATGTCCTCTTAAAGTCTAAAAATGGTATATATTATATACACAAGACACAATATGTATGCCCCTTACAGATTTACCATGCCAGTTTTTATCTTTGTTTGTCTCTTATATTTTTTTTTTATCAATCGTTTATGATTTTATCTAATTTTTGCTAAACTGTTCATATACATTTTGGGGAATCATAGGCTAGGAAAGATATTACATTTTTAGGTAAACGTAAAAATAATTGCATTAAAACATTTTTCACTGCAATGCATTTTAGTAAGGTTCCCCAAATGACATACTAAAAGTCCAAAAACATCCAAGCAGTGGAAGCGTCCCTAATTTGCATAAATCGAATATTGCCGCTATTTCGAGGATTGCCCAAATGTGAAAAGGGGCACTTATGTGAATGAAAAAGGGGCACTAGTAATAAAGGGAAATGTGCATTAGCTAAAAGAAAATGGGCACCGATCAGATTTCAAAGGGGCATTTATCGGAGGTGAAGGAGGCACATATCTGAAGCGAAAAGAGGTAACTTCTCGTACCTGAAAAGGGTCATTTACCAGAGAAGAGGCACTTATGAGAAGGGAAGGGGCTCTTTTTTTAATGGGGCACTTATCATTAGAAAAAGGGTCACTTAAAATGTGAAAATATAAGGTGCGCTTATCCGAGTTGAAATGGGGGGGGGTAGTTATCAAAAGGAGAGGGGTACTTCTTACAAAGAAAAAGGGGCACTTGTCAAAGTAAAAGAGGCATGTACCTCTCATATTTAAATAGGACAATTATCAAAGTTGAAGGGGGCACTTATCAAAAGAGAAAAGAGGCACTTCTCGTACCTAACTAGGGGCACTTACTAGAGATTATAAAGAGCACTTATGAGAAGGGAAAATGGACACTTATTGCAAATGAAAATGTAAACTTGTCGAAGGAAATGGGGCACGTCTCCAAAAAAAAGGGGGCACTTATCAGAGTTGAAAAGGGGAAGGGCCACGTTTACAAATTAATAGGGGCACTTTTCAAAGTAAAAGAGGCACTATTCCTATTCAAAAGGTGCACTTTTCGGGTGCTTGAAAAAGTGGGGGGCACTGAAGCACCCCTTGCCCCCCCCCCCCCCCCCCCGCGGAGGGCCGCCTCTGGGGGTGAATAAATACATCAAATCAAAGGAATATGATAGGCCTAAGTGGAAAAGGGATTAATAGGCATCACTTACCACGCACGAGTTCTTCTTCTTGCTAACGATCCCTAAGATTCCTGTAGGGAGATAGAACTGTAAAGAGTTTTTTTTTAAAGAGATAAAATCAATGTACCTAATGAAAAAATGCACACATAGAGCCTAATTGAACAATATTTTCCTTTGATTGTGTACTGGATACATTAAAGTCGAATCAGTACACCTGGATGTTTCAAGTGGAAGAGAAATTGCCCAAAAGATGATGTTCCCTTTCATGCTTTCTTGCCTTATATCTGGCAGACGCTCTTAGAAAACTTAGAGAAAATACGACGTAAATTTTTAAACCGCAACTTTTCTTTGAAAACCTTAATATAAGAAAGAGGTAAGTTGCTGGTGTAAGCATAATCTCTGTGTCCGATGGATGCCATATAGAGGGGCTACTAGAAAAAGAGACGGAGACTTTAATTTTTTTTTTATGACATCGAAAAAGGTGAAGCAATAAAACATAAATAATATTTCTTGGAAATTGAAAGGCATCATGAAGCATCAATGTCGAGACAGCAGTTCAGAGTAGAGTTCCCAAAACAGATTTACATTAAATTCAAGCATTCGAGCCAAGATTTTAAGTATTGTATGGACTTGACAAGCTGGGGGAGGGACTGGGGATTGTTTTCAAACTTCGGGAGAAGTTGTCTATAACACGGGTATCTAGGGCTTCAATTAAAAAAATATTTTTAAAAAGACCCCCACCCCCGAAAGAAATAAAATCGCGAATGAAAGAATGATTAACTTACAATGAAGGCAGACCAGATTCCATAGCCGACCTGATACACTGGAAACGCGTATGCAACCCCGCCGAGAATGACAGACAGGATAGCTACGATCAGATGCACTATCCCCGTAGCTAAGCCGGCTTTTTGGTTGTAATGTTCGGAGGTATTATTCCAACCACCCGAGCTGCTGCCAGTCTAAAAGGGTTAACAACAAATTGAGGAAAAGTTTGAAAATTAGGCAAAGAAGAATGTAGTCTGGAAAACGAAGCCATGGATTCTAAGTGTTAAAAGCAAAATGGTATGGTCGTGCATTTTATATACTACATCTATCTAAATCCAAAGCGCACATCATTAGTCATTGTCAAACTGGATTTTAATTATTATCGAGTAAATATAAACACAATTTGTCTTTACCTGATAGAACTTTTTTCTGTAGCGTTGTAAAAAGAACATTGCACGTTGTTGTTTTGGTGTATTGTCATGTAAACGAATATGCTTCGATACCTATCAATAAGTTTAACTTTCATTTAAATTCACTTTGAATTCCAATAACATAGCAGGGAAAAGATAGACCAACACCTCATCCCTGGAGAAAGCAAATTGTATAGGCTAATGGAAAGGAGAGTGAATTAGGCCTACATTTTGTTCTTTAGTCCCAAAGTTCTATATTTTGCTACATATTGTTAATTTTTAACTTTATGTTGTAGATAGTAAGCATACCAGGAGCTCTTGCAGCGCAGTAGAATATATTTGCATAGTGCCTGCGCTCTATAAATGTATATTCTTATTATCATTTTACTACAATAAGTCCCTAACAGAGCGACCCCAGCCTACGCCCAAAGGATTCATCAATAAATTGAATAAATCCTACAGAAAATGATAGGCCATATCACGTATCCCTGTGGAACACCACATGGATCCCTCAATAAGAGGTTCTTACTTGGTACACATGGGTGGCGCCCCCTTGAGTGATGACGACCTGCTGACCTGGCGGATACACTACCCCTGGTTGGCCCTGCGGATAAGCTACTGGTTGACCCTGTGGATATGCTACCGGTTGGCCCTGCGGATATCCTACCGGTTGACCTTGTTGATATGCTACCGGTTGGCCTTGCGGATATGTTCCCGGTTGACCTTGTTGATATGCTACCGGTTGGCCCTGTGGATAAGCTACCGGTTGACCTTGTTGATATGCTCCCGGTTGGCCCTGCGGATAAGCTACCGGTTGGCCCTGTTGATATGCTACCGGGTGGCCCTGCGGATTTGCTGCCAGTTGACCTTCTGGATATACTCCGGGAGGTGGGTCGGCGGTATTCTGTTGTTCAGGGGGAGTGTAGACTGGTGGTTCGGCCATGTTGGAGTCGGGTCAAATTTACCTAAAACGGTGGAAAATATTAAAATTCTTCTTTCCATCATAATGTACTTGATGATGTCCATAATATATATATATATATATATATATATATATATATATATAATGAAATTAGAGACTAATTGAGCATTGATTTGTAAATAATACTCAGTGCTGTTTACCTTTTTTCATTTTTGCAAAGGTTTAAACAAAAAAACCCATCTCCGCTGGTAATCGCACCCTGGTCCCTGACTTAAATCACCTAATTTCGTTTGTGAAATCAAATGGGCCGATTTTTTTTGTTAATGTATTACGAGCCCGACTTTATTGCGTGAACAATACCCCTTTACCAGAGATTTTGGGAACATGAATGCTCCCGGAGTGGGGCTGGGCATGCACTAGACATGGGCCAATAGTTTCGGCGTTGCCAGATTCAATTTTATTGTCCCATAATTTGACAAACATTTAACCTTTATTAATTTTTTGTCGGCGGCATTTGAGATATGAACAATGCAAAGCCGAGTGCCTCTGGTGAATCCTAACTTTCAGCTTGAAATACATTGATAAGTGTAAATTCAACGACTTTGGCGACTCTATTGGCAATGAATACACCATTGTGAGAAATGTAAATGAGAAAATATTATGACATAATGAATCCTGGAGCAATTAACGGCGCGCGCCGCGGCGGTGAGATTTTAGATCATTTTCCCCTTATTCTTTCTTCTTTTTTTGCATAGAACATGGTTGCAGGGCCCTAAGGGAGAACAGTATTACATTGATAAGGTTAAGCCCTCGGTAAACGAGACATATTATTATGTTTATTATTATTATTATCATTATCATTATTGATAATGATAAACAAAATACAGTTTTAGTACTGCTACATACAGGTACAAAGTGACGTACTTATGAACCTACAGTAATTGTAATAAAATCAGACCAATAAAAGAAAACGATGAGTGAGAAATAGAAGGGAAAAAACAGGTTTATGATATTAAAAATTGCACGTGTTCTACATTAAGTAGGAAAATTTTTAAATTTGCAAGCACATATTCCATTCCTATTTTGAATGAATTTTACAAATGTATTCGTGATTATTAATAACTGAATATACATATGGGAAAATAACACAAACATATGGCCAAATAATGTATTTAAGTCACTGGTATAATAAAGATTTTCCATGGTTATAGTGAAAAATACACATTTTATGAAATGTTATGATTTTTTTTAACGGAGGAAATAGGAGAAATGTACTTAAGGTTAATCACAGTCACAAATTTGGGCTTGATAATCGTGACCTTCAACTTTCTGGATTATGCCTTTCTCCTCCCCCTCAAAAGGGAAATAAATAGAGCATGAATATTCTAGCAATATCTCACAATAACTCTTGTTATCTTAAGTTGACTGTATTTGTTTATAGACCCCATGCTGGAACTATACACAATCATCACAAAAGAAAGTAGGTCATCTAAATTCCACTGACGCAAATCGAATCCTTTGTACAATGATTGGTTACCTCTGCCTTTGGAATCAGGTCTACAAGTGGCAATCTATTCAATTTGAAAATTAAAAAAGCTTTCAAAAAATTCTCTCTCACCGCCCCAGGCAACTCATCGTCAAAATTGCAATATTGAAAAACTCAAATTTGATACGGAGCAGTGATTAATAATGGAATAATATATATATATATATATATATATATATATATATATATATATATATATATATGTTTAAATAATGGGAACTTGGATTTTGCAATACGGGACGATACAAGACACGCAAACATTTTCAAATTGTTACGATTACATCAATATGTTTCATTTAACCAACGGCATATGTTTTAATACCAGTTTGTACCATTTGGCACTAATGTCCTTTGGCAAGACATTAATCTACATTTGCCACACTCGACCCAGGTGATTCCAATGGGTACCTGGCAGATATTAATTCCTTGAAATGCTAGAGCGTCGTAATGGCAGACATGCTGAAAGCCAGGTGACGATTGCATAGCGCCAGGAGCGTCAATTATTAAGTCTGACAGACATAAGCGCTGTACAAGAACTCACTATCATTATTATCACAAGTTTCCTTTACAAAACATAATTGTTATATTCCACATAATCATATATCTTGGAATAATTGATTTAATATAATTTGTATTTTAAATTGTATAGGATGTGTTTTTTGATATTTGTAATGACTACACGCAAAGGCACTTCAAATTGGCTGAATGTAGTGCCGGAAAACTGTCCTATTTGACATGTTCCAAGAAACAAAATTACTTAAATGTACATTTTTCAAAATATAGAACTCAGGAGGGCTTTCCATGGGCTGTCCATGACTACGTCACAATTCACTCATCAGATTGGCAATTTGAAATTCGCATAGATTTAGTGATCTCATAATTGTCTCAGACATTCATAACTCTCCTTATTATCGGTAAGTTTGTTTTTTTATTAAACTTCGCCATTCTGTTTCTCTTATATTATACTGCTTTCATACAAATCTATGAACTTATTACCAATGGTTCATTACGCTTTCACTTGCCACAGTAGAGACTAGTGATTGTGAATGCATCATAACAATATTATAAGTCCATAAATGGGTGTGGAAAAGTGGTGGACTTTGGTCTACAGTACTGTGATACAATGTCGGGTATAATGTGTAGTCTGCGTGGCACAGCTTTGGGTATTTCAAAAGAGTCGTAATAAACCGTTGTATGTATATATATATGACATATAAATGCAGATAAGGGCGTTTTATAGTTGTCAATCTGGTTTCCTGCATTAAAATGATTCATGACTGAATACTTGGCTTTATTACTGCTCCAGCCTACTGTGCTACATTGCTCCGGACTCTATTTTTATCAATAGTTTAGGTATAGGTGCGGTGTAATTTTGTGCAGGGTTGAAATTTAAAAAATTCAGATATTACTGGATATTTACCACGGCAGTGCGCTGTCACAGGAGCAGAGACAGTGATACAACCTTATGCTCCTGCCACAATAATACGCTATTTTCATGATGTAATAACATTTAATGCATAAATCTTTGTTAATTGCCTCGTTACAAATTATTTCATTCACCTGTCATGAGTAACTGTATTTCAATAGTCAGAATACGAATTGTTTACATTACTTGTAATAAGGTAGGAAAATCCATAATGTTTGTCCATCCTAGCAATAATTAATGTATGCAATAAGTATGTATTTAATTATGAAAGACAAATTCATGTTAAAATATTAATTTGAAAATCTTAACTGTATAAGTAGTGAAAACAAATTATTTTGTGTTTATGCGGAAAACAGTATGCTATTTATAGTTCTTTATATGTCCTTTTATGGAGTTTACTATAGATATGAAAGAGAGTACTTGACCATTGTATCCTGTTCCTTTCAATTGGTAAGTGTAAGATACTACATAATTATTAAGAAAACCCAAACAGCTTGATCTACATTATGGTTTTTCGTCCACTTAACACCAAGGATAATTTAAAAATCTCTCGACAGCAGACACCTAGTATAATGTGTAAAGAATCACTTGGTTTGAGAAAGTCCACAGGCTGCATGAGCGGATGACAACTTGCCAACTAAATTACATGTTATGATCACCCAAAGTCCCTGCCCAGGCAATGACAGTTTTATGTATCACCTTGAAACGTGTGTGTTGATTCTCATCATGTGATCAATTTTGTACCACGTGCAGGACTACATGTTTCACAATATAAACTCATTATACTACATTCATCATATTACACAGGGGAAATATTATTTTGAAACATCTGCCTATTTCATATTTTAGGTGATGCACTCGCAGCTGGCCTCGATATTCAAACTTTAAAAAAAAATGTAAACCACATCACATTGTACAGATTTCACTCCACAAACGAAATTGCAGAATGATTACAGAAATCTATGATGAGTATTGTGTTTGAAAATATTTCATTATATTGCCGCTAGGTAATACATTATATAAAACTAAACACCTACAACAATAATGATAATAGTATTAAAAAAAAAAAAAAGATTAAAAAAAAGATTAATGATAATAATAATAATAATGACAACAGTGATAGTGCTGCTGATGAAGATAACTATTATCCTTAATAAGATTTTTGTTAAACAATGGGATAAACAAATAGAGGAATAGAGAAAGAGAAGACAAATATCGGAAATTTGAGGGGACAGAAATGAAATAAAAAATACGTGCATTAAAAGAGCGCTTACAAAACTACAGATATTGTAGAATAACAAAAGATTGACATTGTCAAATAAAATATCTATTTACCCGTACAAGGCCGCAGTTGTGCAGTATCCTAATGGAAAATGGGATGCAGACATGCAGTTGCATATGAAGCTGGCCGCCATAGCCATATATTAATAGCGCTGATGATAATACGTTAGATATTATGATTGTAGGGTACACAGTAACACCAGAAGTATATACATCTACCTGCATATCCTTTCCAAGATGAAAATTGCTCGAGGGTTAGAATCATATATAAAGAAATGTGCATAAAAAACATTGCATCTCAACAATATGTATTCGTACAAGTCCTTGTTCTTTGAAACATATGTCATATAATATTAGACTTGTCATTTATTTAATAATCGTGCAAATTTCGTGACGATATCAATATTTAATGATAGGTAGATAAAACACGCCACTTACCAGTCATAGTTCTGCTATTTTCTTCCCTATGTAATATAATACTGGACTTGTCATTTATTTAATAATCGTGCTAATTTCTTGACGATATCAATATTTAATGATGGGTAGATAAAACACGCCACTTACCAGTAATAGTTCTGCTATTTTCTTCCCTATGTAATATAATACTGGACTTGTCATTTATTTAATAATCGTGCTAATTTCTTGACGATATCAATATTTAATGATGGGTAGATAAAATACGCCACTTACCAGTAATAGTTCTGCTATTTTCTTCCCTTAAAAAGGCATTAGTAGAAAGCAGTGCGGTATTATCTCGGTAGTACTACGCCCTGAGATAGCTGTACACAGAGTCATATAAAACTGTAGTGCGTATAATATGTAAAGACACACTTTGCAAAATGGAAGATATTTATAGTCTTGACGCACTTTCCCTGCATTCGTTGGTGTGTGGGCGGTTATATGTATTAGTCTTAATTCACAGACTCTCTTATACCTTACCCTCACCGCCAAAACCAATTCTGTACCGACTACAAACCGACCGATTCCTCGACATTGGAGGTAACGTAATTTGTTTTCACTCTTCGGCCTGCTTTTGGTTTCATATTTGTCTTCTTGATGTAACTCGGGTATCAAGTTCGTATATTTAATTAAACTAAAAACCTAGCTACCAACGTTTACAATAGGGTATCAGTTAATAACAAGAATAATAATATTAACAAGAACTTCAATCGTATTAGAACGATATGCATTGGCGCCCGTGTTTTTACGTGACAGACAAAAGAGCCTCTTTTGGACTATCCAGGGCAATTTCTTATAGAAGTCTGTAGCATGTATGAAAGTGGGGATAGGTTGTTAAATTAAATAATGTTAGGTGGGAACATGTATACAACTGTGATATCCATTCTTCTGTTCAAGTGTTTGTGAAGTTTAGTTGAGGTCAAAACTTGTTGGCCTGTACATTTTTGGGGTAATGAATATTGTGTTTTCTTTTTATTCCAAACGAGATATAGTTCAAATAAATGTTTTAATTAGAATATGGTTTACTGTTAATTATGTTTCTTATGGTGTTAGAGCTAAAGAAATGCATATTGAGTTTACATGCAACTCACTTTTTTATCAAATATATCTGCCTTTTCCTCCTCTCACACACACACACACACACACACACAAACACGCACACACACACACACACACACACACACACTCTCGCTCTCTCTCTCTCACTCTTTCTCTCTCTCTCTCTCCTTCTCTCTTTCTGTCTTTCACTCTTTCTCTGTCTCCTTTACACGATCGCTTCACCTCTAGCTGTCTCTGTTTATCTTTGTCTCTTACTATCTTTTTATATCCTACCACTATATCATTCCTCTATTCCCCTACCATTATATCATTCCTCTATTCCCCATACATCTCTCCCCTTCTCTTCCCTCCCCCCCCCCCCCCCTCTCTCTCTCTCCATCTCTCTCTCCTCTAAAATTCATTCGAAAAAAAGACGGCCTTCCATATAATAGTGTAGTATCTATATTTATACCCTTGGCTGATTCAACTCACAACGTGCGTATTAACAAAAACGCAATCGCAACTACTTCGGAAAAATCAACCTATACTTTATATAATCTAGCGATAAACCTTCGATCAATTTATTTAAAATTTAGTACACCATCACAATGATACAATTATCTAATATGAAAACGCTCCAAATGTATGGTACATTATTTTGAAGTACCAAGCCTGTTGCAAAAGATCGTCTCGTTAATAGTTTACACAAAGATATTCACGTTACAATGAATTGCCTGTGCTACTATCCGTTTATATAAAAATTAAAAAAACATGATATATACGTATATAATTTTTGATAGCGTACTATATGGGATGAAGTAAAAAAAATAATATCAAAGATAATCGTATGAACTGATTAAATGTTAAAGGCACCAGCGATGGTAAAGTCCTTTTAAGCTACAGTCTCATCCGACCCCCACGTACAATTAATGAAGAATTCGTTGATTTTGGTATGTTTTAGTAGAATATCTCTACACCGGAGTTACGGATCAAAGTCTGGATATGATTCTGAACTTGCCCAGATTTGTTTGGTCTCCCAACACTTTAGAGAAGCTTTAAGGATTGGATTTGGGTATATCTTCCAAGGGTGAGGTCTTAAATTTTGTTCGTGTAGGATATTGATCGCTGAGCGATTGTCTCCGGAGCTGTAGATCCCCTTCTCTTCTCCTATCATACATTTTGTGACCTAGATGATAGATTTTCAAATAATCACATAAACAGTTTTTCAGACAAAAGCAACCACCTTTGCCCCTTATTCATATCATTAGTAATAATATTACATATATGCAATTAAGAAATAATTTTTCTGATTTGTGCAAAAGCTTACTAGACTAGAATACGTGAAAATATGTTAAAAAACAGTGAAGATATAATACACACGACTTCTTTTAAAATACAACAAAACCGAATATTGAACCATCCGAAATATATACATAGAAAGCCTCTTGGAATCTACGATAAAAAATGATAACTTAAAAGGTAAAAAGAAAAGAAAAAAATATTGTATACATGGTATACATCTTTTTTTGACTTAATAATACTGTCATAATACTTTGGCCTATATAATATGTCATATTCGTTTTTGTTTATAATATATGATTACATTTGAAAAATATCTAGGATTAGTGGAATATAATCATTACAAGAGTATTATCAATCATAATGTTTTCAAAAATATACATGATGTTGTACAGATATGTATTAAAAAGGCCCCTACAGTGACATTTCAGAAACATCATACTGTCTTGTCAAGAAAATATGAGAGTTAAAATAATACCATTAGTCAGCCTGTTTATGAAGCTGCGGTACCTTTTAGATTCTTTTAAAATGATAAAATCTGATTAGTGTACTACTGTACTTGATTGTTTTTGCACCATTGGCTTTCAATCCGCTGAATTAGCAGACTAGCCTAGCTTTGGGATCGCTTTAACCATGGCGGTACACTGTAAGTCACGAAAGCTGGATATTATTTTATTCTTGTTGTCAAATCAGATGGGGGGGGGTGGGGGTGGGGGTGGGGTTTGCCGGCATGCTTTATGACAAACGTTACTATGTAAAATGTACTAGGAATGGAAATCACTCGTTATGGGGGTGATGGGCACGGGATGGGTCATTTAAAGGAATTGATTGGAGTAGAAATCCTGACTGGAAAAGTTAAAGACCAACTCTTGAAAGAATAATTCAACCACAACCTTGGAATACAATCCATTATAATTTGTACTGGCCTTAACTCCTAAGGAAGTGATCCCTTATTTACCTTCATTAGTGAACATGAATTAACCCCGCCAGGTTCGATCAAGGGCATCCCTATATTAACTTGAAGCTCATTTTTTCGTTCATTGATTCTTCAGTAAATATGTCGACCAGTGCCAACGTCTTGAAGTAAGGTTTGGTTTTGGATTCTTCTGAGTGTAGATACTGGATGTCACGTCATCATGATGTCATTGATTCAGACATCTATTTTCCGCTTTCTGTTGAAATATATTAAAAGTAATGTAATGATAGTCATGATAATACAGAAAATAATATCAATATTGATGATGAACATCATCATTATGATTATTATATTACTAGTTCAACTATTACTAGGCCCTACTACTAAAAATGATAATGATAATAAGAATAGTAATAACAACAACAATAAGTGCAGAAAGCTCCAATGATTAGGAGTGGCGAGTGCAATTCATAAGTACTTCTATACTTGATGTTTCAGAAAATGTCGATAAAAGCAAGTGTGCTTAGTTTGTGTGGTAGTGGCAACCAACTCAAAAACTTAGCATGGTATTTGACTTTGGTCCTCCGCCTATATACCAGTCATTGTATCAAATTGGTAATCAGCACATGATAATGCACGCGATCAAACCAGGCGCCATTTAACACCTGGGTGGAAAGTGGCAAATGCGGATTAATGTCTTACCAAAGGACATTAGTGCCGAACCATGTGATCCACGATCCATTCATGCATCAACCAGACCACGACACATCTACACTGCCGCTCATATAGTTGGAATATTTTTGTTTTACCCCACTTTATGGAATTATTTTAAAAATATTAGATCTAGATAATAGTATACATTCTCAGATTTTGTTGAATAATAATTTGCCAATGTGTGTTTTGCGTGACTGCTAAAGCATGTGTATGCTACTATGCTTATCAACTAGGGGACCTTCGCCCTTAAGTCATAAATGACAGTAATGAGGATCAATGCCCCACAAAAGGCACTAATACAGTATAGCACATCGACACGGTTTTGATCCTGGGGCCTTACCGTTACGACGCCATTGCTTTGTCACTGAACCATGACTGTACGCAGCGGGGGCTAGGGTAGGGGACAGTTTCCATAAATAAAATAAAAAACAGGAAATGCAATAAATTTTCAATAATTTATTGCATTTTACCCCGGTTCCCAACATAAAAAAAATCCTCTGTGTGTCCATGCCTTGAGCCATAATGCATGGCCGTGCATTGATCCTTATTACTGTCGTTTATGACTTAAGGGCCTAGGTCCCCTAGTTGTTAAGCATAGTAGCATACACATGCTTTAGCAGTCACGCAAAACACACATTGACAAATTATTATTCAATCAAATCTGAGAATGTATACTATTATCTAAATCTATTATTTTTAAATTATTTTTAAATTAATTCCATAAATTGGGGTAAAACAAAAAATATTCCAACTATATGAGCGACAGTGTACAAGCATATACGGCAGTCAACCGATTTTCAAGAAATACAATTCTTCAAGAAGATTAAAATCACAATACCTGGACCCGGTGCATATCTATTAGCCGCTACTGTCATTGGCTGTGCCTGGCCATACTGCACCTGTTATGAAACAAAAACGTTACAAATTAAACTGCTTTACTTGTGTTAGATCTCTTTACTTGTGGGAGCGAATATCACAATCCATCAAACCATTGTAAATAACAAGATAATGATATAGCTAGACTTCTACTACGGACAAATTTTTTACAGAATACTAAATCGTAAATGTTATTTCACAGAACAAAGTCTTTGGAGACGATATCGTATTCATTATGATTAATAATATCTTTATTGTCAATCCTCAAGTGAATTCAATCAAATTTTATTAAAAATGGTGTAAATCAAAACTGTCATGGATCACGTTATTCATATTGTGACCTCTTTTATAGTTTGGAAAGATACGTCTTCTATGACGGATCCAAAAGGGGAACGGAGGGGGGACGACTTGCCCTCAACAACAAAAATCAATCTGACATACCTTGTAAACAATTGAGAATAGATATGCATCACCCAAACACACATACATACGCACGCACGCACACACACGCACACCCTAACACATACACACGCTGCAAATGGAAATTGAGAAAAGAAGTACTTCATTTATTTGATAGTTGAAGATAGCCACTAGAAAATGATAAAAGCTTTTATCTAATATGAACCAGCCTCCCCCCCCCCCCCCCTCCCAACCCCCTTCTCCCCAAACTTCCCGAGAATACTGGATCCCCTGTGTAATATATTCTCGGCTGACTTTGGCTCTAAAGTAGAAAACTTTCGCTTTAAAGTAGAAAAGTACAAAACATGACCCGTTATTCGATGGGTAACGTAGGACCTTAGTGAGTTATGTATACGTGTTATCATACCGTGGTGGCAGTAGAGGCAGTGCCCTGGTTGGTAGGGGCTTTGGCACAGCAGCATGAGTGTCCCCCACAGCAGTAGGCAGCAGACACGATACAGTTAATGAACTCGACCAAGCCCAGGATAGCGAGTATGGTGTGAACAAAGATAGCACCCTAGTTGGAAAGGTCGAGAAAACAAGATGAAAAGGTCGAGGGTTTAATAGAATCAATCGTAGCGTTTGTTGAATAAATCTATGAACAGTGGAATATGTAAAACAGTTTTAACTTTGAAGTAGATTTAGATTTTTCTTCTCGTCATAATGATTGGGAGTACAGTACAAGTACAAATGAGCATATGTAACTTATAATTAACTTCAAAAGCTTCTTGAGATAAAAGAGTCTTCTGCTTCTTGTTCAGATATTTTGAACACATGTACATGCACTTTTACAAATGATTTATTAATCTAAAATGGGTCAGTGGCGATTTTATCAAGAAAGTCCCAATGGGAACGTTTGTCGAGAAATAGAGAAGCAGTCCCTAACGCAATGGTAGTATGCTACGTCAGTAAAATGATGTTCAATGAGCATTATATTATAACTTTCAGCACAACTTAACTGCGCGTAACAAAGGTTTTACCCGTCACTGAATTCTGCGTTAAACTACAGAAATAATGACGTGTAATACACTTCACGTCATCATAAAGAAGAAGAGAAAAAAAATCGCCGCAGTTTTGCTTCCTCATTTCTGAACGAGGCTTAATTGATGAAATGTCCCATCCTAGAACACTCAGTCCGCAGAGCGTATGCAAATTAGGCTTAATGAGGTTCGAGGCGCAGAATCCCGTTCCGCACGCACGTACTCTCGTGGATTCTCGTTTTGCGAGATTTTGGCTGACTCGGGGAGTATAGCTGAATGTAAAGTTAAAGTGCATATGACTTACCACCGAACGATTATATTCACAGATAGAGTCGATGCTGTAACCAGTGTACCGGAAGTAACAAGACTCGACGTAGGTCAGCACTGCGGCTACAGTTGATTCATATGCCAGCATCCCGAAGGCATGGAAAGTACTCAGGATTGCCATCACCATGTATGCGATGATCTGATAACAAAATAACGTCACATTGTGAGAATGGAATGGAAAGATGGGAATGGGGAGGGGGCGTACAGCCCGCGGGTTTCTTTAAAATCTAAAAATGGAATACCTTAAGTAAACAAGGCAAAGTATATGTATGCCCTTTACAGCTTGACAATACCTGTTTGTTTGTTTGTTGTTGTTGTTGTTTTTTGGGGGCGGTTACCTTTTTGTTTATATTCATTTGTAAATTATTATTATTATCATTATTATTATTATTATTATTTTTGCTTGACTGCTCACAGATATTTACATTTTGTTATATTTTGTTTTTAGGCTTTTCGTTAATGCACAATCCTGGATCCACCCCTGTTATCTGTACAGCTTAAAAATATAGACTTTCAGCGAAAAGAGAGCACATGTTTACATAGCCAAACTTCAGTCATTCTACTCATTCCCTTTGCAACTGGCATATAATATATAAAATTAGGGAATTTCAGTTTATTGTATTTTTTGTTGTTTTCTTTTTCGACTCTGGATTTATCAATGTATCCTTTTATTTGCATTTTTGTTTGCTGTTTTGTTGCAAATATGACCGCTAAGCTACTTTGTAACTTTGGACGTGTTATACTTTCTATGATTATTTGTTATCAGTATAATTGTTTGTTAATATATTTCATTATCATTTGGCTTGGACCCCTTTAAAAGAAAACCAATCCAACCCATGAGTGGTGAATAAGTAAATAAATAAATCATATCAAAGCAATATGATAAGCCTAAGTGGAAAAAAAGGACTATAAGGCATCACTTACCACGCACGAGTTCTTCTTCTTGCTAGCAACCCCTAAGATTCCTGTAGGGATGTAGAACTGTAAAGATTTTGTTTTAAGAGATAAAAACAACGAACCTTAATATGAAAAAAGGCGTACATTCAGCCTAATTGAACAATTTTCCTTTGATTTTGTACTGGATACATTAAAGACGAATCAGTACACCGGGATATTTAAAGTGGAAAATAAATATCGCCCAGAAGACGATGTTCCCCTTCTTGCTGTCTTGCTTTCTGTCTGGCAGACGCTCTTAGAGAATTTTGAGAAAATACGACGTCAATTTGTAAACCACAACTTTTCTGTGATAACGTGCAATTAAGAAAGGGGTAAGTTGCTGGTGTATTAAAGCAGAATATCTTTGTCCGATAGCTGCCAGAAAGGGGCTACAAGAAATAGAGACGGAGATTTTAATGTGGGATGCCACTCGCCGCCCTCCCCCCTAACTGACCAATAAAACACAATTTTTTTTACGACATCGAGTGAAGCAATAAAACACTCAATAATATTTCATGGAAATTGAAAGGTATCCTGAGCCATCAGTGGCGTATCCAGACAGCAGTTTAGAGTAGGGTCCCCAAAGCGGATTTACGATTCAAGCATTCGAGCCCAGATTTCCAGTTTTATGGACTTAACAAGATGAGGAAGAGAACTGGGGATAGTTTTCAAACTTCGGGAGAAGTTGTCCAAGACGCGGGTAGCTAGGGCTAATAATGATAATAACTATAAAAAGACCCCCAGCCCCGAAGAAAAAAAATCGCGAAATGAAAGAAGGATTGACTTACAATGAAGGCAGACCAGATTCCATAGCCGACCTGATACACTGGAAACACGTATGCAACCCCGCCGAGAATGACGGACAGGATAGCTACGATCAGATGCACTATCCCCGTAGCAAAGCCGGCTTTTTGGTTGTAATGTTCGGAGGTACTGTTACAACTTCCCGAGCTGCTGCCAGTCTAAAGGGGTAACAACAAATTTGAGGAAAAAAATGAAAAGAAAGTAGAGTAGAGTAGAAAAAAGGCTGGAAAACGAAGCCATGGATTTAAAACGTTGAAAGCAACATTTTTCAGAAATGTAAAGGTATGGTCGTACATTATAACAATAACATCTATCCAAATCCATAGCGAACATAATTTATCTTCCCCAGAACATCATTAATCATTGTCAACCTGGATTATAATCATTATTGTGTAAACATAAACATATTTTTCTACCTGATACAGATTTTGTTCTGTAGCGTTTAAAGAGAAAATTCGACGTTGTTGTTTTCACAATATATTGTCAATAAGTTTAACTTTCATTTAAATTCACTTTGAATAGCAATTACATAGCAGGGGGAAGATAGACCAACACCAAATTTCATTAGCTCATGAAATGGAGAGTAAGTTAGGCCTACAATTTGTTCTTTAGTTCCAAAGTTTTATATTTTGCTAAAAATTGTTAACTTTTTAACTTTAGGTTGTAGATATTAAGCATATCAGGAACTCTTGCAGCGCAGTAAAATAATATTTGCATAGTGCCTGTGCTTTATAAATGTATATTCTTATTAATATGTTGCGACCCCACTGGACTATACCCACATGATTCATCACGAATTAAAATAAATCCAACAGAGAATGAAAGGCCATATCACGTAACCCTGTGGAACACCACATGGATCCCTCAATAAGAGATTCTTACTTGGTACACATGGGTGGCGCCCCCTTGAGTGATGACGACCTGCTGACCTGGCGGATACACTACCCCTGGTTGGCCTTGCGCATAAACTACTGGTTGACCCTGTGGATATGCTACCGGTTGACCTTGTGGATATGCTACCGGTTGACCCTGTGGATATGCTACCGGTTGGCCCTGCGGATATGCTACCGGTTGACCTTGTGGATATGCTCCCGGTTGGCCCTGCGGATATGCTGCTGGTTGACCTTGTGGATATACTCCAGGTGGTGGGTAGGCGGTCTTCTGTTGTTCAGGGGGAGTGTAGACTGGTGGTTCGGCCATTTTGAAGTAGGGTCAATTAACCTAAAACAATGGAAAATATTAAAAAATTCGTCTTTCCGTCATAATGTACTTAATTTTGTTCATATACATATATATATATATATATATATATATATATATACTTTTGCAACCCGGGACGATATAAGACACGCATACATTTACTCATGTTTACGATTTTATCAATATGTTTAATTTACCAACGGTATATGTTTAAATACAAGTTGGTCATTAATTCTTAAACACAATAACTTTCTTAAGTTAGTATACATTTTATTTTACAAATAACAATGTTGGAATGATTCATTTAAAATAATCTGTCTTTTACATTGCATAAACGATAATAAATCAACTCAACTCTTGTTGAGCCATAAATCTTCTATTTTGTATAATACTTAAAGTTCTGTTTCCAAAGCTCTTCGCCTGTTTTAAAGAGTGATTTTGATTTGTATATATGTTACTACTTGTTACTTCTCATTAATGTTCTTCTTTCCTTTAATTGATCGATCAATAATATTTTTAATTTAGTAGTTCCCCAATGGAGAAGGCATTTATAGAAGAAAAAATTAAATAATTGTGGTAGTGTAGAAATATCCTTTTTAATTGTAAACTGTAGAGATTATATTTCTCCATGTTGTAAACCAATGTATTCAGATTGCCGCTAGGTAATACATTTTCTAAAACAAAACACAACCAACAATAATAATAATAGTAACAACCACAAAAAAAAAAAAAATATTGATGTCAACAGTGATGGTGCTGCTGATGAAGATGATTATGATCCTTAATAATACAATTTAAAAAAACAACAATAAGATAAAGAGAAAGCAAAGAGAAGAAGAGAGAAAAAGAAAAAATATCGGAAATTTGAGGACACAGAAATTAGAAAATGCGTGTAAGAGCGCTGACAAAATTTTAGATATACAGAAATTTAAAAAAATACAAGAACTCAAATATAAGTCGATTATAGTTTTCATGTTACAGATAGCAGATGTACATTTTAAGTGGTAAATTAAAGAAAACCCTGCGTGGTGTGAAAATATCAGTGCCTTAGTGCATCGGCAAATTGGAAAATAAAACAAATATGAATGTAGGTCGGTGATACCAGCCAGACAAGATTGACAAAATTACAGATATATAGAATTTAAAAAAAGTACTAGAACTCGAATATAAGTCGATTATCGTCTTCATATTACTGATAGCGGAAGTGCAATTCAAGTGGTGAATTATCAATTAAAAATACAGTTCCTCGGTGCATAGGATTGCAGGCTACACGTGCAGTAACGCCATAAGTATATACATGTAGGCTACCTGCATATAATTTCGAATTATGGAAATTGCTCGAGGGATAGAATCGTACTTAAAAAGCATTGCATCTCAACCATATGTATTCGTACACGAACTTTTACCTAATTGCAAATACAGTATATTATCATGTTGATAGTATATCCACCTATATTTTACAATGAGGATAATTTTCAACAAGCCAGTGAAAAATGCTTTTCATGGTCGTCCTCCCACTTCAGACATCTCATATTATTATCATACATGTTTGAATTGAAGATTGTATCATTTTGTTTTTATCTTGACGTGGACATAATTAATGAAGACAAAAAAGGAAAGAAATGATGTACACCGAACTTCACTAAACATAGGTACAGATTTTGACTTGTACATCTTTTATATTACGCACCAACAATCATATACGCCAAGCATGAATTCCTAAGCATTACAATACATCCTGTCTTGTTGATCGTGTGATGGAGTATATTCATGTAGAAGTAGAAACAAAAATAGGCTACTGGTTCTTTTGAACGTATGGAATATTATATTCGACTCTTCACTTATTCCATCCATAATCATGCTAATCTCGTGAAGATAATATTTAATGAAAGGTAGATAAAATACGTCACTTACCAGAATTACAGTACAGCTCTTTTCTTCCCTAAAAAGGTATTTGTAGAAAGCAGTGCGCTACTATCTTGGTAATACTACATCCACAGATAGATGTAAAAATAGACGAACGTATGTAAATACTGGGGTAGATACAGTGTACTCGCTTTACAAAATGGAAGATACTTTCACTGTGACGCCCTTTCTCCACATTCGTTGATGCGTGCATGATATGGGCGGCTGAATGTATTAGTCTTAATTCTAGACTCTCTTATAACTTATTATAAGATGATGACGTGGATCCTAATCAAATGATTGGTAGGAAGCGTAAACGTGACCGGGCATTTATTTTGCATAACGCGTAATTTGGATAATGAACGGACATTAGTAAAATCATGTTATAAAGCATCATTTTATATTACAAATAAAACATAATCTTATAAAACAAATAATGCCTTCACTGCTATGTATAAACAACCTGTCATTCTGTAGCTAAAAGGTAACGGAGCATGTAGAAAATAAAGGATACCGAAGCCCCACGTATGCGACACGCAAGGACCCCAAGTCACGAGTGTGTACGCGTGTGTTAATAGTCTACTCAACAAGACGTTTTTACTCTTTTACTGTATTTCATATCTCGTTGAAGAAGTATCATATTTTGAAGCTCATATTTTAAATACAATATATGCCATATGGAACCCCTTACATCAAGAGCAAAAAAAAAAGTTTGGTGATTAGTACACAAGATGTTTGTATCTATCTATTTTCGATCACTATGATTTTGAGATTATTTGAGTCATGATATTAAAGTACAAGTCCACTCCAAAAAAAGTTTCTTTCAATAGAAGCAGAAAAATCTGACAAACCAATCAAAACAAGTTTGAGCATCAAATAAAATTACACACGTCATTTGGACTTTTTGAGGTTGATCACGAGATGTCTTACGTAATCGATTTTCAATAGGGACCTTTCGAAAGGGGACGGTACACTGTTAAAAATTTCACTGTAGAAATTACAGTAAATTACTGGCAACTTTGTTGCACAGTAAATTACTGTAACTTTGACATTACAGTAACTTCCTGTAAGTTTTTCAACAGTAACTTGCTGTAAGACATTAAAATACTGTAAGCTTACTGTAAAGAAATTTTCATGTATAAGGTTACAGTATTTATTGTAAGTTCTTCTTACAGTTAATTAATGTAATTTTATTCACAGTAATTTAAATGTATTTACAGTTATGTACTGTAAGTTTTTCTCTACAGTAAATTAATGTTATTTCTCTCATTTACATTAAGTTAATGTAATAAGTACAGCTTTTCTACTGTGACTTTAGCAGTATCATCCTGTTAATTTTGTATCTATTTCTCTCATTTACATTAAGTTAATGTTATAAGTACAGCTTTTCTACTGTGACTTTAGCAGTATCATCCTGTTAATTTTGTATCTATTTCTCTCATTTACATTAAGTTAATGTAATAAGTACAGTATTCTACTGTGACATTAGCAGTATCATCCTGTTATTTTGTTATCTATTTCTCTCATTTACATTAAGTTAATGTATTAAGTACAGTATTCTACTGTGACATTAGCAGTATCATCCTGTTATTTTTTTTAATCTATTTCTCTCATTTACATTAAGTTAATGTAATAAGTACAGTATTCTAACTTGACATTAGCAGCATCATCCTGTTAATTTGAGGAAAAACAAGCTTTCTGAACACAAAAATCATTATTAAAGTCTTTATTGGGTAATCAACGCTCCATAAAACAAGTTTCTCAAATAGTGTAACATTATGAAAATGCTTGCAAAGAAACTATCAAGTAAAACATTAAAACAAGTAAAACCACTAAAAACTGCAAAAGTTCAAGTACTCAAGAATCTACAGACCCATAGTCATCCTTCCAGTATCTCAAAAATTCTTGAAAAAATTGTTTAGATTATACCAATTCTGAAATACACATAACTTGCTTAATCCCAACCAATATGGCTTTAAAAAAAATCATTCACCCGACCTAGCATTAATTTAATTATACGACAGAATAACACATGCAATTGTGCAGACATAGCGGCTTGAAGGCATTGATATGCTAAATCACAACGTATGGCTTAGGGGCACTGCACTTTCTTGGGTCAAAAATTATTTGTCGAACAGACAACAATATGTTCACTTTAAAATTCTGAATTGTAAAAAACTATTGTAAAGAATTATCTTCAATTGTAAACAAGACATATTTTATACACTTTTATCTTCCTTTAAAGCCACTATTAAACGACAACTACTATCAGAATACAATCAATGAAAAGTCTCCATATACCTGGCAGAATCAAGAAAACTCTCTATACCTGGTAGAATCTCTCCAAAAGACATTACTCACTTTATTTTTGTTTAATTTATCTTTTGAACTAATACCCCATTTAATTTTAGTTGCTCTGTTATATTAAACTTGTAATCTTTAATACGTGTTTCATATTCTTCTGTATTTTTGTCTCATTTACATGCCAATTCTGCACAGAAACTTGTTTCAACTTCATGAGCTGTCATTCAATTGATTGATTGATTGATTTATTGACGGTAAAAGCCCTATTCAGCTACTCGGCTGGTTTACAAAGGGGCTGTGCAAAATAACAAAAACCGTAAAACATACTTGACAATAAGAAAATATACATGATATACAGAAATTAATGAAATAGAATTACCAATGTGCACAATGAACAAAGAAAATAGAAAATATGATCAATTTGTGTACATGTAAAATGAAAACATAAAATTATGAAATTCGTTTAGCTACAATATTGCTACGTATTAAATATGATAAAAAAACATATTACCATATAACGTAACATATATCGTAATAAAATATGTTACTTAAAAAAAATATATTATTATATAACTTGAAATATGTCGAAATAAAATATAGGTTACTTAAATATAGGCCTAATATTTGGCAAATTCATTTATTTCATGACTTATTAAATTTATTAAAATAAAGGTGTATTGCATGTACAGACTAAAATATATGAAAATTCACTAAGGTAAAATAATGCTAAATTGCAAGTAATGTAAAACATATTTTGGAAAACAGTAAGTAAACAATCAAGCAATGCTTATGATGACAAGGCTGCACACATGCCAGGCTCACAGAATACATGTGCTAATGCTTTGTCTAGGAAGTTCAATGACCGCTAGACACAATTTATTAAAAAAGTTTGGGCTCCCTGTAGTTGGTCTCTTTGCATCAAGGCTAAACACACGGCTTCCTTAATACCACGAAGTCACGTGACTTTTTTAACCTCCCTCACTAACAAAATATTTGATTTCAAATTTCAATTTTCACTTGTGATGTTTCATATTAAGTTCAATTGAAATGCATATTAAAGGTACATGATCCCTTTTGCAAGCATAACATTTGCAAATGTCTAAAAAGGGCAAAAAGACACAAATAAAATTTTAAGAAAGTGTGTGAAAGTAAAGGGTTCAGATACTCAATGTAAGTGGGATTTTTTTTTATTGATAATTTTGAAATTGATGTAGTATGTAGGCGCCCCTGTAATTTGTAAAACAGCGCTGGCTCCAAATTCCTTATAATCCTGTTCGTTGCAGAGCAACACCAATTGCATATGATCAATGTTTGATCTATTGTAGGGCTGTATATCAGCGAGGGTAGCATACACAGCTAGAATTTTATGTTTTTTTTTCCCACTGCCTAGTGGATTTACTACTTCGAAAGAATCTTGGTACAATATGAGTGTTACTGCTGAGTTTTTATGCAAAGGCTCATCTTTTGGGAATGCTCTGCCATCATAAACATCACGTAGAATGGTCCTTTGTAAAGCAGGTTGAGCTTTATGAGTCTCTTTGTAATCTTTGATAAATGAGTTCTGCTTGAATAATGCTCTTAGTGTGTCTTGAATTTTAATGTATTGGCAAAATCGCTGTTTGCCAAACTGATCTTCTCCTAAATATATCTCAGTTGGGGAAACATAATCAAAAACTGCTTTAAAATGTGATTTTCTTGTAGACTCTGATCGAAATTCTTTACAATTTGAAGCACTGAACAAATCCTCAGATTTAAATAAAGTTAAAACGTTGGTAACCTCATCATCGGTAATTCCTATTCCTTCAAGTTTCTTTTTTAATTTTGGTATCAAATTTTGTTGGCTTAATGCATGAATATCCTGAACTGTGTCAATTATTTCCTGAATTGTAGAGTTGGGCAGTAGTAATTTTGCCTCCAACTTCAGATAAAACAAGGATAAGCTGTGTTTGAATGAGTCAGCGGATACATCTACTTCATCATCTGTCACACTTTCCTCGTCACTTGAGTGCAGTCTTCCAGGAAACTCCTGATTATTTTCTTGGGCGGATTCAGTTAACACAGTACCAGTTTCACTTGAAGTTGAGTCTAACTGAATCTGGTCTAACTTATTGTGAACTCTTGATATATGTGACGCAAAAGACGACCTCACTGAAAAACGTTTTTTGCAATTGGCAAAAGGACAGCGTATTTCAACTCCGTGTTTGATATGAACTCTAAGATGAGAAAGTATGTCATGGATTTCCTCACATTTTACAGCAGAGTGGACAATTCCAGGTAGAAACGCAGAAAAACTGGGCATCTTTTTTTCTTGAAAATGGTTGATGATCCCTATGCACATGGGTTTTGAAGGATGAATAATTTCTGAATGTTCGATTGCAGCCAGGAACACCACACGGGAAATCGAAATTCACCACATTTCTATGGACTGAAAAGTGTTCAGAAAACCGCTTCAATGATCCAGAAGAATGATTACATAGCTTACAAACGTACATGGGTATATGATGTCCATGTAGAGCATCCGTCTGATTAGTGTTTCAGCATGCACACTGTGTGACTTCAGCAGTAATCCATGGCATACTGCAAGAAAGAAGAGCGGAAAACAATACCTTTAATATGCATACGTACACATAACTTTTTATGTACAGCATTGACAGATTAAAAGTTATTTAAATGATAAATGAATAATAAAAAAAAAGATAAAGGACAAAAATACAAAAGAAAATCGAAAGAAAAACATAAATTCATCAAATATAACCAGTTGTCACGAGCCTCCTGATGATGACTGTATGCGAAACCTTCAGCAAAAAAACATTTGATTTCACGGCTATGAATGTTACTAGATCTACATAAGTGAAATTAACATTCATTTGCGGTAAATGAAACTACAATAGATTTCTGTAAAACAAATTTACAATCCTTAAAGACAAAAATTACTGTAATTTACTGTTAGTATTTGAAGAACCTACGGTAACAGCAATTTACTCTAAGAAATGCAGTGATTTACTGTAGGAAAGTTTACAGGCAGATACTTTGAGTAAAAATTGATGGTAACTTACTGTAGATATAACCTACAGTTACTGTAAATTAAAATTACAGTGAATTACAGTAGACAAGTACTCAAAATTAATATGAAATAAAATTACTGTAATTTACTGTAAACTAGCAGTAAGTTACTGTAAATTACAGTAATTTTACAGTAATTACTCAGTAATTTTACAGTAACTTACTGCCAGTTACGGAATGGCCTATTTGGTTGCTATGACAACGCTGCGACCTTCAAAAAAGTAAATTACAGTAATTTTACAGTAAATTACAGTAATTTTAAAGTAACTTACTGTAAATTACTAAGTAACAGTAAAATACTAAGTAATTTTACAGTAACTTACTGTAATTTTATTTCATATTTTAACTTTTAAGTAAAATTACACTATGCAGCAGGATTGCCAGTACTTTGCTGTAATTTCTTCAGTAACGTGCTGTAGACTACACTACATGAGCTTAGACTTGTGCGTATTCAACTGATCACGCAGTGTGCTCATGATGGACTGATGCTGTAGTCGATCGTAGTGTGTGCGGTGTCCTATAAGTTATAAGTCTTGATGGTCTTGACGTTAGACATTTCCAATTTAACGTGAGCATGCATATCCATGTGCAATGGCATCGCATTGACAGTGACACTGTACGCTGGTACTGCAGTACAGTGTCATGTGCTGCACTAACACTACCGACTCTGTCCCACACACCACAGCACAGCACGTACAGTACACATATACCGTAGACGGAACAATTACAAACACAATCCCTATACTTTCCACAGTCTGACAATTCTTCACTTCAGCGGGATACAAATCAAATCATGACTCTGATAATTGGCAATCTGTAACTTACCTCGGATCCCCTTGGAATTGACTTATTGGTCATCAATATCCCAGCTCGAGGATCAGGACCAGGAACAGAACAGATTCAGATTCGTTGCTCAGGATCAGGCCGGCCAGCTCAGCTATATATCTCAGCTCAAATCTTTGCAGAAAATTAAAAATGGCGGCGCGGCGTGGCGGGCTGCGAATTTTTTTTCCGTACTCGAGAGAGCAAAAATCCCATGTGCGCATGCGCGTGGACTTGTGATTTCTCTGCTACTTCCCATACGAAATGTACATGTATTCGCATGTACTGTGCACGATTCGCGTTCTACGAGTAAACGATGGCATAGTAGTCTTCAAACACAGACTCTGATTTGCCAGTTTGACAAATCAATATGCGTATGTGTCGCGATGTGCTTATTCAAGTCTGTGTAGTTGTATGATTCAGACCCAGTAGTGCATATGGAAATACATTGCAACTTGTATAGAATGGTATAGTAGTCTGCAAGCACAGACGCTAATCTGACAGTTTGACAACATACTAGTAGTGTGCTGAGAAGTACTTTATTCAAGTCTGCGTAGATGTATGATTCAGACCCTACTGGTGCGTGCGTTAGAAATGCATCTCAATGTGTAGAGCCCGGTGAGGTCACTCCCCTGCAAATAGTGACACGTATGACCGTTACCACTAATGGATATAACCCCCTTTTGCGGTCAATTTCAAGGACATTTTGTGAAATTTAACCCCCTTTTTTACGTCAAAACAAGGACAAAATCGTACTTTGGAATACCCCTATTTATAAGATTGTAAGGACACTTTGGCAAATTTACCCCTTTTTTTACCATATTTCAAGGACAAGACTCGGCTCCGAGAATTTTTCTTCCCGGTTTTCTCTTTTCCCTTCCCGGTTTTCTCTTTTCCCTTTTCTTGACCCCTATTTATCAATTTCGGGGACACCTGTGCACCCCTATTTTCTTTATTTCGAGGAATATTTTGTCCGCGGACATTGCTTGAAATTGACCCCTTTTTCCGCGATTTTGGTAACGGTCATGCGGTCCGGAAGTCACATTGAGTGACCCCACCGGGGTGTAGAGTGTAGTATAGTAGTCTGCAAGGACATAATAATATATTGTGTATTGATGAGTAGTGATTTTATGCAAGTTTGTGTAGTTTAATGATTCCAGACCCCATGGTAGGCCTATGTATTGTGCCACTGCTCTCTCACACTCTTTCTCTCTCTCTCTCTCTCTCTCTCCAAGGAGAGTCTGTGCTTGCATACTACTATGCCACTCTATAAGTTGAGGTGCATTTCCAATACACGCACCAGTAGGGTCTGAATCATAAAACTACTCAGACTTGAATAACACTATTTTGTCAAACTGTCAGATTAGCGTCTGTGCTTGCAGACTACTATGCCACTCTGCAAGTTGAGATGCCTTTCCAATACACGCACCAGTAGGGTCTGAATCATAAAACTACACATATTTGAATATAAAGCACTACTCAAGACACTATGTTGTCAAACTGTCCGATTAGCGTCTGTGCTTGCAGACTACTATACCATGCTATTCAATTTGGGATGCATTTCTGTAAGCACTAAAATGTCTGAATCATACAACTACTCAGACTTGAATACTAGTACTATTGCTACGCACGATATATGCGTAATTGTTTTGTCAAACTGGCAAATCAGAGTCTGTGTTTGAAGACTACTATGCCATCGTTTACTCGTAGAACGCGAATCGTGCACAGTAGATGCGAATACATGTACATTTCGTATGGGAAGTAGCAGAGAAATCACAAGTCCACGCGCATGCGCACATGGGGTATTTGCCCTCTCGAGTACGGAAAAAAATTCGCTGGCGGGCTAGCGCGGGAGCCAATCACGTGCAACGCATACGCGCATATGCAGCCGATCCGCCTAATGCGCATGTGCGCTGTATCCCACAATGCTTTTTGCACGCTCCTTTACACTAGCTTACTGTAGATATTTGTTCCCATGCTCTACGACACTGATGTTTACAGCAATATACTGTACAGCAACGTACTTATACAGTTAATTATCGTAAAATCGTTATTACAACATATTACTGTTGTAAATCACAGTATTTTACTGCATGAGTTACAGCAAATTTTTACAGTGTAGAGCAAGGTCCATGATTCAGGACGGAGACAGTCCTCCACGGTGACGAAAAGTCATGTGAGCCCTTTTCACATTACTCCTTTGGGTATTTCATTCCATATGAATTTCTTTGTTTTTGTTCTCCTTCTTAAATCTTCTTTTGGTTATCTTTGTTATCCTTTCTTTCACCCATCTATCATTTGCACTTCTGGCTTTCCTTGTGTCATTCTTTGTTCCTATCCTTTTATATTTATCTTCTATCTGTCCTTATGTTATTCTTTGTTTTATCAATCCACCATGTTGTCTTTTATATTCCCCTACGTTATTCTTTGCATTACTATTTTTGTTCTCTCTTCTATATTCCCTTATGTTATTCTGTGGTTTTAATCCACTCATTTTCACGTCTTTTTTCCTAATGTTATCATTTCTTTTACCCATCTATCACTTTCTCTTATATCTTCGTTTTATCCTTTCACATTTTCGTTTATCCTCCCCTTTGCATTTGTTCATCTCCTATTTACCTTTATTCCCTTGTTGCTATTAACTAGTCCTGTTTACAGACCGGACGTTATTTCAGCCGAGAACCGCCCTGAAAATCAACAGGACGTCGATTTCTTTTTCATGCACGCATATACGTAGATCGATATTTCGCTCGGCTTACTGTCTTCTTTGCTGACTGTCCAGTTTTCAAAAGCTCACTATTGTCCCACTATTGTCACGCTTTAATGACATTGCAGATCGCATTATTTGTAAGGCTTTAAGATTATTTAGACAGCCCACGAGACCAGCAATGTAGAAACCTCAGAAAAATTGTCAGAATGGCCACAAACCTGACATGCCGGTCTTGTGAATCCTCAAGTAATTTTTCAGAAGACCACGCTGAATGCCGGAGCGTTAATGTGGTTTAAATCTTTTCAATACATGTGGATATCAAGCCTGGGCCAAAAAATATGTTTTCTTTTCCATTATTGAAGAAAAAACATAGGCCTATGGAAGTGAATAGTTTTTTTACATATCAGATTTGCTCCTGAAGACTGATCTCTATGGTTTTCCACCCTTAATTTTTGTTTAGTTGCGTTAATATATCCAATACCTTTCTTATTTCAAATCAAAATCAATTATTTGCTAATTTGGAAGAAAACATTATTTTCTTATCTTACAACAGTTTATTGCATTGATATTTATTTAATTTGTAAATATACATGTATATACAAAAAGCAATGTGTATATAGTTTTTTAAATAAGAAACACATTAATGCCCACATTATTGAGTTTGAAATGGTAGAATAACCATCTGCATACAAAGGATTAATCCATACTGAATAGCTAATAGCTAAAGGATTCAAGCTAAACATTGTAACCTTTCTTCGCTCCAGTGATCTCGAGGTAGCAGCTAGACAGCAAGAAATTGTGTAAATAATAAAAGGTCCACGGGAGTATTGTTAGATGCTTTAGCTATATATTAAACTCACACTCTCTCCAATGTTATACAACAAAAGGTTGTCTTGGGAGCCCCTTCTATCTTAGTACGGATGGGTTGAAAGCTGAGAGTCTTTGCCGGTAGTCTTGGGGGCGGAGCCCCAGGAAGTTCTTGAATTTGTAAACAAATTTTAGCAAATTCAAAATAGTCATCATGAGCGATAGAAATTGTAATTTCCTCCTTCACATCGTTTAGACATGTATTTCATTATTTGTACTTATGTTGCTAAATAATGAATATTCATTTTTGTAAAAGAAAGATATTACTTGATTTGTCTTTGATTATATGAATATTTTTTACAGTTATTATTTGTTATTTTTGTTAGTATATAACATTTTCTCTGCTTATATTTAATTTGTAGATTTCTTTTATTAAATTGTGGTTGTGATTGTACTTTATGATACTGACAGATGAATGAATTAATAAGTGACTATGCGTATGTACAGTATAAACAAAGAAAGAGAGAATTGGTGCTTGAAATGAGATGAAAATGGGCATTTAGTAATAAATTATTGGCAAAAGTTTCTTGAATAAATCATGTTAGATGCAAAAATATTGTCAGAGACACGTAGTGTTTCCAAAGTACACTAGTATAGGAAAACAGTAACAGTTTACCAGTAAATGGGCATAAAATTTTGCTTCACTTAATGTGGATTTATCAACATTTCTAGACCTACATACCAAAGCTTTCAAAAGATCTGATTTCCTTTGAAATAATTTAAATTAAACCAAACATGATGACATTATATCATATTCATGCTGATCGATGCACTAACTTGTCTTGGTCATGTGCAAGATTATGACAAGCAGCTGGAAGGGGGAGGGGGAATTGCCAACGCCCACATTTCCTGAAACATTACAGAGTACAGACGAAGAACTTATCAATTGCATTCAGCACTCCGAGCCCTTTGAACTTTCTCTACTACTAAATGTCAAATCACTATAATTGTCCAGTTAATATATCGAGATACTGGCCAAAATTTTAAAGGGAAAAGATATTTACAAGAAAGCACCTTTTCGGCTCAAATTCATATTTCACACACTACATAACTCGATGAAATTGATATTAACTTGAAGGTATTTTAATTATCAATCTGTTGAGACCAAGTTCATGGTGATGAGAGGTTTCACTAAAAAATTATTATTAAAGCTCGATGTAAACACACCAAACACGTCCTCAGTAATTATATGAATACAGTTAATAAACAATGTGAGCAGAAATGTCGTTTTGCCGGGGGAAATCAAATCAATAGCTTTCGGTTGCTATAACTTTTCGCTGAAAAGAGATATATGCCTCTCCTTCGCACAGGATATTGTCCTTGTATACATGGGAAAATTCCTGGAAAGTTACGAAAAATGCACTTTTCCAATTTTGATATATGAAAAGTAACGGTTTTTGATCAAATTCAACATTTCGACAAAATCACATTTTTTTACTTCAATTTTTCAAGGTTAATTAATCCCAGTCCCGTTGTTATTGGTATCAAATGTAAATAATTTAATTTTCTTTCATATGACATCAAATACATGGTGGTTTAAGGTTTTCTTCGAGTATTATTTACAAAATATTACTTTTCTTCAAAAGGGCCTCTGTTTGGACGCCCCCTCC